CGTTCGGCTCCTCCTGTGCTTCCTTCTCCCCCTTAGTCGGCCCTCACAGCTTCTCTCTCTACCCCTATCACTGACTACTACCGCACGTACCGTCCTGTTCTCTCTCGTGTTCTCGCCTCTCTTGTTACCCACCCTCGTGCCTCTTTGTCCTCCGTCTCCGCTCTTACTGCCACGGTCACTGAGTTTGCCTCTACTCGCCGCCTTGACTACGCCACCACTCTTGTGGCTGCTCCTCCTACCAGTCCTCTGGCCGTCGGGGGTGTGTCTGCCCTTGGCTGTGACGTCCTAGAGGACAGGCAGTTTGAGCTAGAGTTCCTGGCGGCCGCTTCCCCTCATCTCTGTGCCATGCTCCTCACCCCTGAGGGTGACCCCGACGCCCTTGACATTCCGACTCCTCGCACTTACGCTGAGGCAGTGTCAGGGCCTTGGGCCTCTCAGTGGAGAGCTGCCATGGACGCAGAGATGGCCTCCTACAGATCCACAGGCACCTACGTCGATGAGGTTCCTCCCCCTGGGACGAACGTAGTCGATGGCATGTGGATCTACAGGGTGAAGCGGCCACCAGGATCTCCTCCAGTCTTCAAGGCGCGCTACGTTGCTAGAGGTTTCAGTCAGCGCGAGGGAGTTGACTTCTTTCAGACCTTCGCGCCGACCCCGAAGATGACCACTCTTCGGGTGTTACTGCATGTAGCAGCACAGAGAGACTACGAGTTACACTCTCTCGACTTCTCCACTGCTTTTCTTCAGGGCAGCCTACACGAGGAGGTCTGGCTGCGTCGTCCCTCTGCCTTCACTGGCACTTTCCCTCCTGGGACCCAGTGGAGGCTGAGGCGACCTGTCTACGGTCTTCGCCAGGCCCCTCGTGAGTGGCACGACACTCTCCGCTCTACCCTCTCTGACCTTGGGTTCCAGCCGTCTTCTGCCGACCCGTCGCTGTTTGTTCGCCGTGGCTCCACACCGTTCTTCATTCTGGTCTACGTCGACGACCTAGTTTTTGCCACTGCTGACAGGGTTGCTTTGGCAGACGTGAAGTCCGAACTGCAGAAGAGACACACGTGCACTGACCTTGGTGAGCTGCGCCATTACCTTGGGCTGCAGATCACCAGGGACAGAGCTGCTCGCACCATTACACTCTCACAGTCACACATGGTGCAGCAGGTCCTTCAGCGGTTCGAGCTTCAGCACTCCACAGTACAGCGCACACCTCTTGCTGTTGACCACAGACTCACTGGCCCCTTTCCTGACGAGCCGTTTGAGCCTAGTGGTCCCTACGCAGAGCTTGTGGGTTGCCTCATGTACCTGATGACTTGTACTCGCCCGGACCTCGCTTTCCCTCTCAGCATCCTTGCGCGCTTTGTTGCGCCAGGGAGACACCGTCCTGTTCACTGGACAGCAGCTGTGAGGGTGGCGAAGTACCTAGCGACGACATCAGGCGTGGGGCTAGTTCTTGGAGGGCAGCAGGCTGTTGTACTTACTGGTCACTGTGACTCTTCTTACGCTGACGACGCTGAGACTCACAGGTCTACTCAGGGGTACTGTTTCAGTCTGGGTTCTGGAGCTGTTTCCTGGCGGTCCACGCGCTCCTCTTCGGTCTCGACCTCTACAGCTGAGGCTGAGATCTACGCTGGTGCCATGGCGGCACAGGAGTTGCGTTGGTTGACGTTCTTGCTCGCCGACCTGGGTGAGCGGCCGAGCTCTGCACCGACCTTGTTCACTGACAACAAGGCATCGATTCTCCTTTGTCGAGAGCCACGACTGGAGAGCAGAGTGAAGCACATTAACGTCAGGTACTTCCTTCTGCGAGAGTTGCAGAGACGTGGGCAGGCTCGCTTCGAGTTTGTGGAGTCTGAGGCCAACACTGCAGACATCTTCACCAAGGCGCTTCCGCCTTGTGACCACCACAGGTGTTGTGTGCAGTTAGGCCTTGTTGACACTGGTTTTCGGCTTACTTAGTCTTGAGTTCACTGTTTGTTTTGCTTGTACCCTTTCTATATAACTCTGTTATTTCTTGGACTGGCCTTGTGGCCATTGTTGCTTGTGCTCAGAGTGTGTGGTGACGTTGTGATCCACCCTGAGCTTTGTTTCTTTGTGACTGGTCTTATGACCGTACTCTTTTGGTTTTGCTAGACACCCCTCACTTAGGCTATGGGGGTGTGTCAAATGTTGGTAGCCTGTAGTGAGGTTTGTCTTAGGGGGTACGTATGTTAGGGTTTGCTACTTGTACCCCAACCACCATCAATGAACCAACACTTCCGATTCTGACATTGTCTTAAGGGGTACGTATGTTAGGGTTTGCTACTTGTACCCCAACCACCATCAATGAACCAACACTTCCGATTCTGACAAAAACTGCCCTGAGGCCTCAGTGTACCTTCAAACGAATCTGAGGCCCTGCCGTGGAGCACCTTCATCAACTTAGAAATGTGCACTGTGGCCATATCCGAATCGTCCTTGCTGATGGCCAAGTTGCTGATTCCTTATGGGCTAAACATCCACTTCAATGAGCTGCAAATGCCGCATACCATCGCTAGCTTTCGTGAGCAACTATTGACAGAATTTGAATTGATAGCATACAGTCCAACGCCTGAACTGTGTCTACCTAGCTTCGCTTAGGCTTTTGCCTAATCATGCGGACTAATGCGTTGAGGATCTTGGAGAACCAGAATGTGCTGACAGCTTGGATTGCCACCGCACCAACCTGTGACAACCAGCACCACGCAGATAGAAACGAAACATCCTACTGAGTGAGACAAGAGTACACTACCCATCAAATGTGGTGACCAATTGGGAGAGATGGAGAGAGGGGAAAATAAGGTGGGAGGGAGGGAGATGGGTGTAGTGTGTGGAAGAGTGAGAGGGAAGCAGAGAGAAAAAAGAAACAAGGCTGAACAATGGGTCAGTGAGGAACACCAGCCATTACCTTAACAGCAGTGGGGCTCGTCCCAATAACAGTATACCATGTTACCACCGGGCCAACGACCATTCGGGCTATTGTGAAGGAAATGAGAAAAGCCAGCTGCAACCATGTCACACAAGAGATGGGGGGAAGTAGGGAGGCAGTAATAGAGTCAGAGAAGCAGGTAAGGGGGAAGGATAGGGCAAGACAGAAAACATTTGACAGTACGACAGGGAGAAACAAGAGATTAAAAGATATATTTCCATCATTAATCTGTCCACAGAGAAATTAGGAGATTTGAATGTGTTGTGCGGTGCACAGGTTGGTGTAGTAGCTTGTTCTTAAACTGCAATGCAGAGTGTTAACTACAGTTGGTCTCACGTCAACAGCAAAGGTGAGAGCAGACTTGGGCGCATCCAGCTCACGAAGCATCTCCCTCGAATGCATGAATGGGTTGGACAGCTCCACCAGCCACAGGCACGCCATCAGCTCCTCCCCACACTGTTCCAGGGGATGGTTGGGAGATGGGCAACGAGAGTGGAGTGGAGCAGGTGGTGTGCAACAATGGCTGTTGAGAATAGTGAGGGATATGAATGAACAGCAAAGCTAACCTCAAACTTCTGCGATAGTCTCACGGATTCATCAATGGTGTTTATGAGCGACACGTACCCGACCAGAAATGAGGCCAAAGGCGAATCCGGCTATAGAGAAGACGTGGTGGAATGCGTTGGCCCAGTCGAATGTGACGTCGAACATGCAGCAGATGAAGTCATAGATGAAATAGCTGAGGCTGATTACCATGGCTTGCACCTGGTGGTGGTGGCAGGGCATGCAAACAAGTGAGTAGGAGGAGCAGGATCGAAAGCAAATGCTCTTTTGCTATGAATGCAGGAAGTTAGGACCAGGGGTTGGTGACTTTTACGATTTTACCTAAAGCCCCCTTCCCCATTCACCCTCCCCCCCACCCCCCTCCTAACTCACACACAAAGTGTATTGAGGAAGTTACCTGAGGGAGAGTGTTGCGGCCTCCAAAGTTTCCGAGCGGATCCGACCAGTTGAGAGCCCTCGTGGAGAGGGCGAGAGCAATGATCACGTGCACCTGGCGATGAGAGGGCGACGAGACAAGCGGAATAAACGATAAACGAGAAACGAGAAACGAGAGCGTGAGAGGCATCATAGACCTGGTTGGTAGTATGCATTGCTGGAACGAGCCCCATTGCATTCTTGCCAGCTATTTTGCGCATGCACATTGTATAACAGCAGCGTTGAACGTGTGGGCTGAGACGTTAAAAATCTGGAGCCAGACCGTAGGAAGCGGATAACGCGCTCGGATTCGGATCCTCTTGCGTAACTTGCCTGCGAGACGGCTCGATTACAGAAATCGAAGGAGACGCGCGACAGAATCGAGAGGCGGAGCGTGAGGAAGAGCAGAGCCCAGGTGCCGGTGGCGACGACGAGCGTGTGCAGGAGAATGTAGCTCTCCTCCTCTGACAAGCTCCGCCACGATCCCGTCGGGAGATGCTGCAGTATGGTCCCTGGCGGAATGTCGAGCCATTCCTGAAGCTTCGACGGCATTGTGTATGCTAAGTCAGGAAATGAGTTTGTTAGTGATAGAATTAGCTTTAGTTTATGCCGAACTGGATCGGCGATAAATGAAAGAGGGCGATCAAATGCCGTCAATAATGCATCAGTCGCGGAGAACTCCGTGTCGCGACGTATGCGAGGTTGCGAGTTTATCAGCGGCCGGTGCGACGATTGGGAGTTGGGACCAAGTATGCGCTGAGACTGGGAGGGTGTCCAGCAGAGAGAAAGGAAAGCACGAATGCGAGATCGGCTTGAGAGTTACGTGGCAGAGAGGCGATTACTGATGAAGTCAGGAACGCCACACAGCAAACCGTCAAACAGTTACTGATGAGAGTTAGTTATTCAAATAGTTTTTGTCACGGTTGCGAAAGGTGCAGTGAGAAAACCGTCACTTGCGACGCGATGAGAGTTCTGAGGTTTCACAAAAACTCTCTTCGCAGCCACACGCACAAACAGATTGATTGATCAGCCAATCAAACCGCAAGAAGCACCCAAACATTCGAACAACCCCCAAGCATGAATGCCGCACGGTAATCTGACAGCAAATGGTAATCTAATGACATATGTAATGTAAATGGTAGTATACCCTTGCACCTTCCACTGGAGTGATTGCGGCTCACCGCACCACCAGCGCGCTCCACCTTCTACATGGAATTCTGTCGCATGGACTTCCAGTGAATTGCTCTGTGTTGAATTCACTTGTTCCACGCAACCGTGGGGGAATCGATTTGGCTTTTAGACTTCCATAGTCAACCATGGGGATAGCACCTTCGTCGCCGTCCCCTGCAGGGGACAGATCGGACATATCCGCGGTATCGCAAGCCGAAGCACAGTTTCCGCCTCACGAATTAGCTCGGTTAAGGAACTCGTTTTCCCAGCTGGTACAGCATGGTAGACTCGGAAAATTTACCCGTAACACCATCCCGGCGCAGGCCCTAGCGGTGAGTACTCTTAACCTTGCAAAAAAAATCGCCGAGAAGATTCTGACAGACAATATTAAGCACTTATTGCTATTATTATAATTCCTCTTTTTACCGTTTTTCCATGCAGGACGAGCTGAAGCTGTCCCTTCCGCTAGAAGCGCTGCCATGTCCCTTACTGCGATTTGTGATGGAGCACTATAACCAGCAACAGCAGCAGCAGCACCAGCAGCAGCAGCAGCAGTCGCGAGTGGCTGTGGAGGCGTTATCTCGTCAAGTGGCAAGAGCAATCGCCGCAGACGTTTTTGGGGTTCGCTTCAGGAAAATGCTACGAGGGTTGGAGGGCAAGAAACCTAGAAGCAACAACACCAAGGAGGAGTCAAGTGCTTCCTGGGACGGTTCAGCCGAGCGGGTAGCCGTTGAAGCTATTGAGCAGGACTGGGAGGCGTTTTGGATGGGTCCGATGGATGGTGCAAGCGACGAGAGTGAAGATGAGGAGGACGAGGAGGTGGAGGAGAAGGAAGAGGAAGGCAAAGGAGATGTACAAACAGGGAGGGGGGACGTTTCTGGATCAGATGGTGGTAAAAGGGATTCCATGCGTGATGCTGATGGCTCCGCCTGCACTGATGCTGGTGGATCCAACCTCCAGATGCGCAGTTTCTTTGTCACGGATGAGATACGACAGAGCCTTGCTACAGCCAGTGGTGAAGGTGAAGGTGGTGTTACTAGTGCTGGTAGTGGCAGTGCGCACAGGAGGGTGAGCAGGAGGACGAGGGTGACTTGGGAGGAGTTTATCGTTGGCCTGGCGGGATGCTGCAAGGAAGCTTCGTCAGCAGCTCGCATGAAACGGCTGCTGCGAATCATGTCTCTGATTCGCGTGGCCCTCATTCCCCCATCTGCCTGCTCCCATTCGTTACAGTCCCAATCTCCACACTCACAGAGCTCCAGTTTGGATCAGAATGATGCACGTGCCTGCAGTGGCACGTCCCATCAGAATGGCGAGCTCCGCGACCGTTTCCCTGTGATGCCGTCTATCCCATGCGCTCCCTCGGTGCCCCAAGCACCTCTCTCCACGGCAGACAACCTGCAGGGAGAAACTCAACTGCACCCGCAGTCGCAGCAACAGCAGCAGCAAGGAATTGGGGAGGGTGAGGGCAGGGAGGTGCACGCATGGCACGTGTGGCTGCTGTTCCTCACGTGCTGGGCGATGGAGCAGCAGGCGGAGACATTGGGCCGAGACAAGGCAGGCAGTGGTAGTGAACGTGGTGATAGGGGTGGTGATGTGGATGTAGGTGGTGGTGGTGCAGATGCTGGTCTCTTCAACGTGGCAGCTCACGCGAATGATCAGTCTGCCATACCTTCAAGTGTGCTCCACATGCTTCAAAGCCTTGCCCAAGGAGCTGTTTCAGCTGCTGCTAGTGCCACTGAGAGTGCTGCTGCCACAGAGAACGCTGCAGCAATTTCCTTGCCCGCACCTGGTGCTTCTAGCAGATCAGCCTATAACGAGTCTCTACCTCGCCTGGAGTCAACAAAGCTCGTGTCGTGGCTGCTGGTTCAGCTCCCGGGTCTCTCCACGCGCCTGTCCGCCTTCGTGCTCCACCGCTTCGCCACTGCTTCACACGCAGATGATTCTTTTCCTTCAACTACGCACGATGTCAGCAAGGCAGCACTCACGTCCGATGCCCCTGCTCCTGCTTCTTCTCTCTCTGCTTCTCACTCTGCTTCTCCCACCGTTACAAGCACATCTGCTGTATCCGCTGAAAGCACTGATTCCACCAATACGAGCCCGGAAGCCATGCCACGTGGCGTTGCCTGGGTGCTTGACATGGCGTTTCCGAACCCTCTTAGTGCAGCGGGGATGTCACGGGCAGGAGCTGCAGGAGTGGCAGGAGCAACAGAAGCAACAGGAGCAGCAGGGCCAGCGCCAGGGGCAGGGGCAAGAGAAGCACGTGGTGCAGGAGGGGGGCATATGGTGCATGGTGCACAGCTGCTGTATAGGGCGTCCCTGCATGGCCGTGGCATTCGCCGGCTCATGGCTCAGGCTGAAGGCTACGGTGGTCCCTGGTTGCTTCTGCTCTCCCTCCGCCATCCGCCCTCCTCTCCTCTTTCCTCCTCCTTCTCCTCCTCCTCCTCCTCCTCCTCCTCCTCCTCCTCCTCCTCCTCCTCCTCCTCCTCCTCCTCCTCCTCCTCCTCCTCCTCCTCCACCACCACCTCCTCGCACTGCCATTGCGGGGGTCTCCTCTCTCTCTGCACCCGCCTGTGCGTGTCAAAGCAAGCCCCGTGGCTGGTGGGAGTGATGGCGTCTGCTGCGGTTGCCAATGCTGATACCTATACTGGTGACGCCAGGGGTTGCGCTCTCATGCAGCTCTCGCCCTCCTTCGCTCTCTACAAGCCCACTGGTAAGTATTCCTCCTCCTATTGAGACAAGTGTTTTAGGCCCCTCTGAGGCGCTTTCGAGGCAGCGCTACAAAATGGTCTGCTGCTGTTGCCAATGCTGATGCCTACTGTGGTGACGCCAGGGGCTGTCCCCTGTTCTCTCGTGATTCTTTCGTCAGCTTCTCTCTGCTCGTAATCTTTCCTCGTTCCAAATCCCCTATTTTTAGATTCCTCAGAACTTATATCTCGCATGATTTTCGTTTGCACTTTTATCGCACCGCTTCCTCTCCTCCCTTTCAACCCCCTCTCTACGAATCAAGCCAGGTCAAGCGAGTAATTTCATCTGCACGCCATCTGCAAAGCTGGGGGGGGGCCTGTTTCTCGTGCTGGTGTTGGTGGGGCTGGTGGGGCTGGTGCTGTGCGCGGGGCAGGGGCAGCAGGGGGGAAGGCGAGGGTGTTGGGGATAGGCGTGGGCGGCAGCAGGGGGAGGGAGCGCGTGTGGGTGGATGAGGAGTTTCGATCTGCCATTGTGAGACACCATGCGGTGGATAAGACTTTCCGGGCAGGTCACCTGCACCCCGACCAGGTGAGATTTAGATAGTACAGGGAGTGGGTGTGTGAGTGTGGGTGGATGAGGAGTTTCGAAGCGCTGTTGTGAGACACCATGCAGTGGATACTCGTTTTTATCGACTTCAGTTGATGCGCCACTCCTGTGCTTGCATTAATATGTCTTCACTTCCAATTACCATACCCAAACTTGCAGGGCTATGCGGAGCTGAGCGTGCGTGTAGAGGATGTGACTGTATGGGGTTTGGGTGGCAAGGTGGCAGAGGACAAGAGGGTGGCGTTTCAGCAGCGCGAGCAGCTCTTCACAGAGCAGAGGAGGAAGGTGAGCGTGAGCGAGAGGGTTGGAGCAGAATGGAAGAGGGGGAATGGCTGGATGGAGAGCAGTGAGGAGGGTCAGGACAATTGGACAGGTGGGCAGTTTCCATGTCAATGTCTGGCGCATGCCTGTCCTCCTTACAAAATGTCTCAAATGTCTTTTAGTTCAGGTTGGATGTCAGTCAGTCGCACATTAGTGTCTCCTGCTCTCCTCCTCGCTGCCTGCATCTTCTCAGAAAGAAGCTACCTTCGTTGCCCACCCCTGCCTGTGTTTTCCATCCCTAACCTCCACCACATGCACCTCACCACATGCACCTCCCCACATGCACCTCCCCACATGCACCTCCCCACATGCACCTCCCCACATGCACCTCCCCACATGCACCTCCCACATGCACCTCCACCACATGCACCTCCACCACATGCACCTCCACCACATGCACCTCCACCACATGCACCTCCACCACATGCACCTCCACCACATGCACCTCCACCACATGTACCTCCACCACATGCACCTCCGCCACATGTACCTCCCCCAGGTGGATCTGGCCAAGTTCGTGGGCAAGTGGGAGGACGCACCTGAGAGGGTCATGCTGTACATGGTCACCAACCCCAACAAGCCCAGCAAGGAGGAGCGCTAGCAGCAGCAGGTGGTTTGTTGAGAGCAGCAGCTTCGCACGGCTGGAGCATTGAGACAACGACCCATAACATGACAGATCTGAGAGGGTCATGCTGGACATAGTCACCAACCCCAACAAGCCCTCCAAGGAGGAGCGCTAGCAGTGGCGTTTTCCATGCTAAGTGTAGCAGCGTCGCATGGCAGCAGCACTCAGACGTCACAATGCATGATGGTTTTGAGAGGGTCATGCAAGACATGGTCACCAACCCCAACAAGCCCAGCAAGGAGGAGCGGTAGCTCTAGCTGCCTCTGCAATAAAGCGGCATTGACACAGGAACTGACTCTGTGCCGGTGTAGCAGCCTCTTGTGGCAGCAGCATTGAGACGGCTCTTGCCATGGCCCTCCTAAGAGGATCATGCTAGTCATGGTCACCAACCCCAACAAACCCAGCAAGGAGGAATGGTAGCAACAGCTGGCTCTAATAGAGGGTAGTCCGTGTCTCACCATGGACTCTGAATTGCAAAGCGAGTACAGTACATCCTAGTTGTACAGTTCGGTTGGCCTCCACTCCTAGTTTTAGTTGCAGCGTCTTTTCAGTGTATGTTTTAGGTGTGGTCGCAGGCAGCATGTGCAATCATTTGAAGCAGCAGCTGTAGCTCTCGATGTCAACTGGCCAGAACAAAATATACACAAACACGGCTACACTTCAGTAACTGTTCACATGGACCTTACAAGAATGTACATCTGAGCAGTGGCGACAGGCCACCAAACTCAACACTTTCTGTGAAAAATACGACGAGAAGCAGCAAATCACAGAATGCGGCCAGCCATGCGAGCCAGCTTAGCCGCTTCCCTCGCAGCCACCTCAGCAAGCATCCTTCTCTCCTCCTCCACCCCCCGTTCAAGTGCCTCCTTCAATATACCCAAGTACGCCACTTATCCACTGACACCCTCTTGGCCTCCACCACACGCCTATCCGCCTTCCCTGCCTGCGTTCCTATCTCACGCAGCTGCTTTCCTTTCAAAACTAAGTCAACAAATCACAGCAAGCCAGCCAAACGCCTCAGCTTGGCCTCCTCCCTTGCAACCACCTCAGCAATCATCCTCCTCTCCTCCTCCACCCCCTGTGCAAGCTTCTCTTTCAAAATACCATAGTACTTATCCACCAGCGCCCTCTTCGCCTCCACAGCGCGCCTGTTCGCCTCCTCTGCCTGCTGGGCAATCTCACACAGCCTCTCCCTGGTCGACTGCTCCAAACACCGCATGGTCGCCCGGCTCCTCCTCCCTGCCTTCGTGCTGCAAAAGCCCCGCTCACCAGCAGATTTCCTGCCACCAGCGGATTTCCTCTCCCCATCGCCACCAGCAGCCTTCCTCTCACCAGCAGCCTTTTTCTCCCCGTTACCGCCTCCCTCCCTCACGTTCACCCTGCGATGATTGCTCCTGTGACTGCCCTTCCCAGCCACCCTGTTCTTACAACTAGAGAAAACACCAGAGGAAACACCAACCTTTCTTACACCCCCTGCCATGCCCTCAGGCTTATCAGCTGCTGCCGCCGGCTTGCCACGGGCAGAACTCTTCAGACCCTTGCACGCAGCATCCCCACCAGCCACCTTTAGAGACATTCCGGAACGCTTCAAACCTTTGAAGGAAGCATCCCCATCAACCACCTCCCCTATATCATCACCATCACCAGCATCAACCCGTCTGTCATCAGCCAAACTATCACCAGGTGGGCCCTGCTCCTCGTGCCTTTCTTCCCCACCCCGCCTTCCTCTGCCCCTCCTCACACCCCCCACTGAACCCTCTGCCTTTTGTTTCCTGCCACGGAGGGGTTGACTGGGATGTTGAACAGCAGCAGCACCACCAGCAGCAGCACCAGCAGCAGCACCACCAGCAGCGGCACTAGCAGCACCAGCGGCAGCACCACCAGCAGCGGCACTAGCAGCACCAGCGGCAGCACCATCAGCAGCAGCAGCAGCAGCAGCACCAGCGGCAGCACCAGCACCAGCAGCACCAGCACCAGCAGCGGCAAAAGCAGACTTAGCAACCCTGCGACGGCGAGGACCAGCAGCGGCAAGAGCAGCAGCAGTAGCCGCTTCCACCTGCTGCTGCCAGTCAGGGGGGCACGCCACCCCCGCCGCACCCAGAAAGAAGCAGATCTCCTTGAACCGCCGCGGCCACCGCCCCTGCAGTTTACTCCTCCGTTTGCCGGCTGGAGCAGCGTCGTTGCTGCTGGCCCTGGGCGGCCTGAGGCTGAGCTGCTTCTGGCGACGGTACTCCTTCAGGCTCTCGAGAGCACGGAGGATGTTGGGGGGGTATTCGTCGAACGGCTGGATGAGGAGGGAGGGGGAGGGAAATGAAAGTAAGGTTTTGAGAACAAACTCGTTTTCATGTGGCTGCTGCTGGCGGCGGTACTCCTTCAGGCTCTCGAGAGCGCGGAGGATGTTGGGGGGGTACTCGCTGACAGGCTGGAAGGGTGAAGAGGAAGTGTAAGGAGGGTTGGGGGAAAGAAGGATATGCTTTCAGATGTCTCACAACAAACTTGTTATCGTGTGGCTGCTGCTGGCGGCGGTACTCCTTCAGGCTCGCAAGAGCGCGGAGGATGTTGGGGGGTACTCGCTGACAGGCTGCAAGGGGTGAAGTGGATGAGGAAAGGACCGTGGGGGGAGAACAAGGAAATGGGTGGGGGTTTTAATTTTGATAAAACGAGGAAGGTGGGGTGTGGGGGTGGGGAGGGGGGAGGAGTGCGTAGACTTGTGTGTGTGTGTGTGTGTGTGTGTGTGTGTGTGTGTGTGTGTGTGTGTGTGTGTTTGGTGCCCTGTTGCCTCAGCACACCCACCAGCATGCCAATCGTCTGCCTTTTGAGACGACTCAAGAATCACGCCCAGTCACATTTATTGATTCCATAAAAAACAAACACCCCGCACCTTGCTGGCCTGAACGAATCTGTGGTTGATCTTGAGACAAATCGTGCCCAGCAGACCCTGCAGCAGGCCAATCGTGTGAATTCCTGTCAGATTAACAATTTCCAATACTCTCACCCGTTTCATACCTTGGTGGCCTGGACGATTCTCTCGTTGAGCTGTGTTTTGAGTCGACTCAAAAAAAGGCCCAATCGTGTGAATCCCTGTCAGATTAGCAATCTCCGATATATTTCACCCGTTCCATACTTTGGTGGCCTGGACAACTGTATCGTTTAGCTTCACGTCGATCGTGGCCAGCACACCCTCCAGCAGGCCAATCGCGTACCGCCCGTACTTCCGCAACATTTGGTACACCTCCTCGTCCTGCCACGTCAGCGCGTGCCCCGCTTCGGATTTCCCCGGTGCTCCGTCCGTAGCTGGGGTGTCCCCCCCTGAATGGGCCCTCACGCGCCACTCGCTGCGCTTCATTGCTGGCTGAGAGAGTAGAGAGGATGGGAAAGGAGAGGAGAGGAGGAGGAAGAGAGGAAAGGACAGGAGCCGAGAGGACTGAAAGGGGCATTGAGGAGCCTAGGAATGACTAAAAGAATTAGCGTCACCTTCAAAGGAAGAAGACATAATTACCTTCAAGTTTTTTTACGCCTTTCTGGGATTGAGATCTTGCGACGCACAACCACGAACTCGCGAATTGCCTGATGGTAACAGAGAAACCGGATTCGTTGAAAGGACCACGTGTGGGCTGCTGACTAGTGACAGAAACAACGGCTGACACGACGTCAAACCGCACACGGTTACGGGCGAAAGGAAAGACAACGCCGACACAACGCTGTTTGCTGTTCACTGATTGCTGTTTGATGTTTGATGTTTGCTGTTTGCTGTTTGTGTCCGTGATGACGCTTTCGTGGCTTCGTACTGAATTAAGCTAGAATGCCACAGGAACCGCCATCGCAACCCGAGCTCAGTTAGTATGCCGATTAAATATGTATCAAAAACTAGCACCAAGGCGGAATGACGAGAGCTCTTTCGGATTGCCCGTCACGAACGCTCACCACTAAACCAAATTTCAGGGAATTCATGGCCTCCTAAGGGCGACGTTAGGTTGTACAACTTCTTGTACGCCAACTACGGTTATCTTTGTTTCAACACGGTGCAGAGCGGTAGACTTCGAGAACCGTTTTTCACCGTGTTAGACCGTCTTGAACAGCGATACAAGAACTGTGAGCCCGCGAGAACTGTGTAACCTGACGTCGCCCTAAGGGAATTTCTCATGCAGTGGGTGTTCTTTCTTGGGAAACTATATCCCAGATCCTTAGTTTCAGATTTCTCTCATATTTACCCCGAGGTATACTAAAAAAGTACTACTTTCCAGAATTTCTCTCACGCGAGGCCCAAAGTATGTTCAAAACTGGTCCTGCGGGGCGATTCTTTCGAAACGTGTCCTCTTGTACACCATCTGACGCACTTCAACGTGTGGAAATTTCCGATGTGGGAAAAACATAAAACCCCTACGGAACCGGGGCACATTTGCGGGAGGGATCAACCCTAAACACCTTGAAGGTCCCGTGTTTAGGGTTGACCCCTCCCGAAAATGTGTACTGGTCTCCTAGGGGTTTTATTTTTTTTTGTCCCGTAAAAGCATTCCCGGCGCGAAATTGCCCTGACAAACGGTTAATTCAGAGTGGATTTGCGTCAGATCGTAAGAAGGGGACACGTGTCAAAAACTTTGCCCCGCAGGACCAGTTTTGAACATACTTTGGGCCTCGCGTGAGCGAAATGCCAGAAAGTGGTACTTCTTGAGTGAACCTGGGGGTAAATATGAGAGAAATCTGAAACTAAGGATCTGGGATATAGTTTCCCTTCTTTCTTGCATGCAATGCAACCAAGTTGCTGCTGGCACCCTGAGCCAGCTCGAGTTACCCCAACACCAAGATCGGCTGCTTGCTTTCTACTGGTACAAAAGATTCGCGATGCCTGTTCGCCCCGATTTTTTACAGTTTTTACTGGGTTTGGATTCGTGGCGACGCATCTTCTAATGCCTGACGAACCTCAAACGAAATTCCCACTTTCGCCCTCGGAGACCCAGTTACAGAAAGCGACCACCCTGTCTGGCTCCTGTCGCGCAGATTCTCCACTTGTGACAGTTTCATCCATAAAATGATATACACTGCACTGATAAAATAACGATTTACACAAAGGCAACTAGTCACCAGATTACTCCAAGGCTAACAGTTACCGTATACCTATAAGAAGGCGACACCTCGTTAAGTATCATGCAGCTTCCCTGCATACAACCAAGCAGTCGCCAAACCCTAACCAAGCCACTGATTCTGTGCCCGCGACCTCTGCAAGCATCCTTCTCTCCTCCCTCCCCGGCTCAAGCACCTCTCTTTAAAGAATCTCTTATCCACCAACACTCCCTCCCTTGCCCTCCACTGCACACCTATCCGCCTCCTCTGCGTGCGTCCCTATCTCACATAACTGCTCACTCCCCTTCAATAAATAGAGCAACAATATCACAACAAGCCCGCCAGGCGTGCCAGCTTAGCCTCCTCCCTCGCAACCACCTCAGCAATCATCCTCCTCTCCTCCTCTATCCCCTGTGCAAGCTTCTCTTTCAAAATATTGTAGTACTTATCCACCAACGCCCTCTTCGCCTCCACAGCACGTCTGTTCGCCTCCTCTGCCTGCTGGGCAATCGCACACAGCCTCTCCCTGGTCGACTGCTCCAAACACCGCATGGTCGCACGGCTCCTCCTCCCTGCCTTCGTGCTGCAAAAGTCCCGCTCACCAGCAGCCTTCCTCTTCCCGTTGCAACCAGCGATTTTCCTCTTCCCATCGCCACCAGCCGCCTTCCTGTCCGCAGCAACCTTTCCCTCCCCATCCCCCCCAGCGGCCTTTTTCTCCCCATCCCCGCCTCCCTCCCTCACGTCCTCCCTGCAATGACCGCTCCTGTGACTGCCCATCCCAGCCTTTCTGTCCTCACGACCAGGCGAAACACCAGATGATATTCCTACCGCTCTTACTCCCCCTGCCATTCCCGCAGGCTTATCAGCTGCCACCGTCAGCTTGCCACGAGCGGAATCTTTCAAACGCTTACGTGCAGCATTCCCAGCAGCCAACTTCGGAGAGTTCTTTGAACGCTTCAAACCCTTGCAGGAAGCATCCCCATCCACCACCTCTCCAACATCATCATCATCACCATCACCACCACCACCATTGTCACCGTTGTCATCAACCCCTCCATCATCAGCTAAGCTAACACCAATTCCGTCCCGCTCCTCCTGCCTTTCTTCCCCACTCCGCCTTCCCCTGCCCCTCCTCAGCACACTTCTCACACCCTCCCTCACACTTCCTCTCACACCCTTCCTCACACTCCCTCTCACTCCCTCCACTGCACCCTCTGCCTTCCGTTTTCTGCCACGCAACGGCTGACCGGGAAGCCAAACAGCAGCACCAGCAGCAGCAGCAGTACTAGCAGCACCAGTACCACCAGCACCAGCACCTCCAGCACCTCCAGCAGCTCCAGTACCTCCAGCAGCAGCAGCAGCAGCAGCGGCAGCAGCAGCATACCCAACAGCCCTGGGACGACCAGCACCAGCCGCAGCGGCCAGAGCAGCGGTAGTAGCCGCTTCCACCTGCTGCACCCAGTCAGGCGGGCATGGCACCCCCGCGGCGCTCAGAAAGAAGCAGATCTCCTTGAACCGCCGCGGCCACCGTCCCTGCATCCGCCTCGTCCGCTTGCGGCCCGGAGCAACGGGGTGGCCTGCCCTGGACGGCCTGGGCGGCTGGCGAAGGCGGTACTCCAACAGGCTCTCGAGAGCACGGTTGATGTTGGGGGGGTATTCCTTGACAGGCTGGATGAGGAGAAGAGGGACGGGAGCGAGGGAGAGGGAAAAGAAGAATATAATTTGAGATGTTTCAGAAGTAACTTGTTATCATGTGGCGGCTGGCGTAGGTGGTACTCCAACAGGCTCTCGAGAGCGCGGTGGATGTTGGGGGGGTATTCCTTGAAAGGCTGGATGATGAGAAGCGGGGGGCAGAAGAGGAAGGTGGGCGGGGGTTCCAAGGGGAAAAGGGAGGGCGGGGGGAAGGGAAATTGGGGGAGGGGGGGGAGGTTAATGTGTGTGCGTGTGTGCGTGCGTGCGTGCGTGCGTGCGTGCGTGCGTGCATGCGTGCGTGCGTGTGTGTGTGTGTTGATTGTGTACCGTATTGGCTCATGTGCGCATACCACATATCATTGTCGTCACATTCATCAATTCTGAAATGCGCAACCATTTCGCACCTTGGTGGCCTGAACGACTCTGTAGATGATCTTGAGGTCGATCTTGAGGTGCCTCAGAAGGCGAGTCACTATCCGCGACTCACCCATTTCGCACCTTGGTGACCTGAACGACTGTGTGGTTGATCTTGAGGTCGATCTTGAGGTGCCTCAGAAGGCGAGTCACTGTCCGCGACTCACCCATTTCGCACCTTGGTGACCTGAACGACTGTGTGGTTGATCTTCAGGTCAATCGTGAGGTGCCTGAGAAGTCGTCTCACTATCCGCATTTCACCCATTTCACACCTTGGTGGCCTGAACGACTCTGTGGTTGATCCTCAGGTCAATCGTGGCCAGCACACCCTGCAGCAGCCCAATCGTGTGCTGCCCGTACTTCCAAAACGTTCGGTACACCTCCTTATCCCGCCACGACAGCGCCTTCCCCGCTACGGATCCGTCCGCGACAGACGTGCTCCCTCCTGAATGTGCCCTCACGCGCCACTGGCTACTCTTCATTTCTGGCTGAAAGAGGAAAGGAAAGGAGACGAGAGGAATGGAGAGGAGAGGACAGGACAGGAGCGGCTGAGGAGCGGAGAGGAGAAGAGGAATGGAGGAGATGACAGGAGCGGAGAGGCCTGAAATGAGCTTTGGGGGCCCGAGGAATGACTAAGAACTTAGGGTAACCTTACAATAAACACGAACACAGCTTACCTAAAAGCCTTTGATGCTCTTCTGATATTGAGATTGTTGTCAAGCAAACCTTCGGACTCGCGAACTGACTGGTAATAGAGACCGGCTTCGTAGAAGGACTACGGGTCGGCTGCGGACTAATAGCAGAGACAACGGGCTGCCGACGCCAAACCGCAAACAGCTTCGGCCAAGAGGAAAGGACAGCGCCGAGACCTGACTGCTCGTTAAGCGTCTCGGAAGCACGGGTTCAGCTGGTACGCCAAGTCAACGTTCCAAAACGGAAAGACGAGAGCTCTGTCGTATTGCCCTTAGGTCTGATTCTCCTACCTAAATTGCCCAAATGTGCCCTACATTATCCAAAAACTGAGGCTTGCTAGGTATCTGCTGGTAACCTTGCGTGCGCGATCAAACCTTTCGCGATGCCAGTTCGGCACACGGCTGGGTCGTGATTCGGGGGCTACGAATCTGATAAATTCTCGCGAACTCCAATCCGATTTCGTCAATTCGCTTCAGGGATCCAGTTACCGAAGTGTAACCCTCAATTGATCAAACACACACCACAAGCCACCCCGATGCCACGCTGATGGACATTCCCACATCAACTCTTCTACTGCTACCCCCAGCCGTTTCATTTCATTTCAACGAGTCAAAAGCTTTTTCGTGACGCCAGCCATGCTGGCAAGAGGCGTCACTACGCCTCGTCCGCTCGCGCTCAGACCTCGTCGATCCTCCTTGCTGCAGCGCGTCCTTCGTCTTTCTCTGCGCAATCTTTCCGTCACTTCCTTCGGTAGCTCGAAGATTTGCACGAATTCGAACGAATTCGCCATGGCGAACCCCCTCGCGTTACCACTTATAAGGCCGCACGCTGGCATCGTCACTTGTTACCCTCGACATTCCAGATTTTTTCGACACGAAGACGCGTCCACAGCGCGTATGACTCGAATACCGGGTCAAGCGTCGCATGCTGATTCGAGGAAACACTTCATCACCTCGACTTCGTGTTCCTCTCATCATCGCTCTCTCGGTTCGTTTCGCTCCTTGGCCTCCGCGTCGTCGCCGTCGTCGTCGCCATCGTCGTCGTCCGTTACCGTTAGGGTTAGCCGCGTCGATCGGATCGACAGCGTCGTTGTCCGAGCTGGCAGAGATGCCGTTGCTGACGTGGACAATCTGCCAGATTCGCCGGGACAAAAGGAACCTATCTCACCTGAAACGGTGGATGGAGCTCAGGATATGAATGGAGTGGCGTTAAGAAGAACTAATGTAGTGCTGCAGCGAGAAATACGGGTAGAGCAAGAGGAGTTGATCGAGGAGCAGGAGACGTTGATAGACGAGCACGAGCCAAGCGCGATGGAGGGCTGGCAAGAAGACAACGGACGGCTGTTATTGATCGATGGCCATCCTGTGGTGTACCGGGCTTATCACCAGATATCAGGCGAGTCTGATACTCCCGAGGTAACTTCTAGAACTTTCCAAAGCAATATTCGGAAGCAATGTCAGTGTGCCTGGCTCCGCGAAGTATTGGGCATTTGCGACTCTGATGTGGTTCATGAGTGTACCGTGTATACCACCCAGCATCAGGTGATGGGCTTATTTGTCCTCTGTCTTGCTTTCCTGTAACTCGTTCCTGCTCCCAACTGCCTCACCCCTGCTCCCTCTGTCCCATTCCTGTTACTGTCTCATTCCTGTTCACTCTGCCCATTCCTGTTCCCTGCACTCTAAGCTATCGCCATTGTTGTGTTCTCTCTCTTGTGCCGGTGTGTCTCGCAGCGCGGTTACACCACAGTGGTTACAACACCTTCGCGCATGACGAGGACGTCATGGGCACGCTCTTCAAGTCATTCGAGCAGGTGCGTGTGTTGCAAGTCGTTGTGCAGACCAGCTGCATGTGCTCCCCAAGGGCTTCAATATCATTGCTCTTGGAACGAGGACGTCATGCGCGAGCAGGTGTTTGTGTGTGCGCGTTGCTATCCCATGCGTTGGCCAGCAGCAGGGAGGGGGGGGGGGGGTTTGACACTTGAACTCCTCTGACGTTTGACTGACCTTCGGCTTGTGAGGCAGCAGGCACAGCCTCAACGTCAATTGAATCTTGCCTCCCTCCCATAGCCCACCCCTCCCTCGCTTTCTCTTCTTTTTATTTAGTGTTTTTTAGCCGTCCTCCTTCCGCCTCTGACCTCCCTTCCTTTCGTACCTGCTTTGTCTGCTTTGTCTTTGTGTGCTTCTCTTCATGTGGCTCTCTGCATGACTGGCAATGTGGCATCAGATCGTCAACCTTTTAGCGATGCTCCCAACACACGTTGCAGTGAGTGTGGTGGGGTGTCGTCTGACACCGTGAGGGCGTGTGTGACAGTGTGGGATGTGACAGTACCATGAGAGTATGATATCGCATACTTGGGAAGGGAGAGATCGTACACAAAGAGCACTCTGCACGCACCATCCCTCAGCCTGTTGACATCTTTCGTGCCACATCTCCTGTGTGCCTGATTATGGGAATGATCCTACCTGTTCCAAACGGCATTCCCAGTTTCTTGTTTTTCTTTCCCTTTCTCTCCCGTTTAGCCTCTTCCTCACCTCCATTCTTCCCCTCTTGTGCCTGCCTGTTCGTGGCTCCCTGCCTGCGCCTCTCTGCCTCTCCTCCTCTTCTCCGCTGCTCTGCCCAGCTGGTGTTCGACCATGGGGGTGAGTCAACCACCTTTGAGGAGCCTCAAATGTCAAGCAACCAGTGTAGAAAAAAGTGTCAAGTGCATAGTGCATATACCCTTTCCACCGCACAACTTGATCAAATCTCAAATTTAAGGCATCTCGAATTCCACCATGGAGGGAAGGTCAGTCAACCATACCCATCATCTTGCTTCCTCCTCGCTTTCCTCCTGGCTTTCCTCCTTATCTCTCACCCCCCTGCTCCCCCTCTCTTCACCCCCTTTTTCCCCGTCACCTCTCCACACACACCGAACGTTTGCCATGAGTCGTTCCAGGGCTACAAGAGCGTCATAAGTCAACGTTCCTTCATCAACCAACACTCCCACTCCCGCCTTCTTCCCTTTCTTCCCAACGCAGACCCCACGTTCCGCCACGAGTCCTTCCAGGGCTACAAGAGCACGCGCCCGCCTCGCCCTGGTGCTGTGGCACGCGCCATGGAGCTCATGCAGGCTGCTCTGCGCGCGCTGGAGCTGCCCTCCTTTGCGGTGAGTGCGGAGGGGAGTTTGCGGCTGGTCGTATGCTTCTGAATCATTAAATCGTTTTGCCCTGACACTGTGGCACGCGCCATGGAGCCCATGCAGGCCGCCCTGCGCACGCTGGAGCTGCCCTCCTTTGCGGTGAGTGGTTTTGTAGGGCGCGAGATTGTGGGCTTATGAATAACTAAATGTAATCGATCCATTGCCGTGGCACGAGCCATGGAGCTCTTGCAGGCTGCCCTGCGTGCGCTGGAGCTGCCATCCTTTGCGGTGAGTGCGTGAGGAGTGTGAGGATTTTATGTCACAATGCGACATGGGACAGGTGTTGTGATCTCAGCGTGGGATGTCTGTCATGTCATTCACCATCTTCAGAATAATGCATTGCCAGGGATTTGACATGCTGACAAGGTTCCGTTCCATCATCGCAAAACTGGTGCAGGGGCAGAGGAGCATTGGTTTTATATGGAGCAGCGACTGATGTACTGCCATGGTGCCTTGGTTCCTTGCGCTGTGAATGTGGGTGTGTGTGTTGCCTGTGTGCATATGTGCTTGCCCTTGTGTGTGTGGGTGCCCTGACCTGGTGTGTGCGTCGCCCTGCCTGCAGATATCCGGAGTGGAGGTGGATAACGTGATTGCAACTCTTGCAACAGAGGCACAGTGACTGATGCTGCCTTGATGTGATGGTGCCTTGCTGTGATGGTGCCTTGCATGTCTGTGTGTGCTTACCCTTGTGTGTGCATCGTTACCTGCAGTGCAGATATTTGGGGTGGAGGCTGATGATGTGATTGCCACTCTCGCAAAAGACGCACGGTGACTGATGCTGTCATGCTGCATTGGTCTGGCAGGTGATGTGATCGCAACTCTTACAGCAGCGGCCCAGTGACTGATGCTGCTATACAGCCGTGGTGTGATGGTGCCTTTGCCTGTGTGTGTGCGTCACCCTACCTGCAGATATTCGGAGTAGAGGCCTACTTTTGAGTCGACTCAAAAGGCAGACCGATATTGTGATTGCAACTCTCGCAACAGAGGCACGGTGATTGATGCTGCCGTGCTGCCTTGGTGTGATGGTGCCTTTGCCATGTGGTGTTGTGTGTGCTTTGTTACCTGCAGATATCCGGAGTGGAGGCGGATGATGTGATTGCAACTCTCGCAAAAGAGGCGCTCGAGAATGGAATGAAGGTGGGCTTGCTGCTTTGTCGCATGCAGGCGAGCTGAGGTGAGCAGGAGTGCAAGATTTTTTATTTTTATTTTTTAGGCGCTCTCAGAGTTCATTCAGGCGAGGTGAGGTGAGCAGGAGAGCAGGGAAGATCAGTAGCTGCAGATAATATTGAGGGGTGAGGGTAGCTTGAGTTAAGTGATGCATGGAGCATGCATGCATGCAACAAGGATGGATGCATGGATGGATGTATACGGAGGATGCATGCCTCATCAATTTGCGCATAGCATCACCTGACAAGGATTTCTTCCAGCTGCTGTCCCCCAACCTCAAGATGCTGCGACTCACGCTGTGCCCCAAGTCGGTGCCCCTTCCCCCCTCGTTCCCCGTCTTCCTCCCCTTCCCTACTCAGGTGCGCATAGCATCACCTGACAAGGATTTCTTCCAGCTGCTGTCCCCCAACCTCAAGATGCTGCGACCCACGCAGCGCCCCAAGTCAGTGCGCTTTCCCCCACCATCTCCCCTCTCTTCTGTCCCTCTCCTGCCTCCTATTGGTTGCTTTCATGCACCCCTACTCCTCGATTTTACACCTGAGTCGTCTCCTGCTCACGCGTCACTACCACACCTGACTATCAGCACCTGATGTTGATGGTGAGCGGGAGTGAGTCAGGTGCACATCTGGTGTCTTCAAACCCTTATTGAGCTCTCTTTCTATGATTTACCATGCCCTTTCAACCATGAGTGAAAAAATCAAAACAGACGATCCATTATCCTCCATGCCCTTCCAACCATGAGTGACAACAATCCATTTTCTTCCATGCACTTTCCCCGTACGCCCTTGCCTTGCCACATAGGAGGACTTTTGAAGGGGCTGGGGCGACATGGCTCTTCAATTCCTTCCCATCTTTCGCCCCTATTACCCCTCTTACCAACACAGGCGTGGCAGTCCGCACTACCCCACATCACACTTCTACACATAACGCGGAGGAGGACTTTCAAAGGGGACTGGGGGGATGTGGCTCTTCATCTTCCGCTCCGACCCCTTTCCCCACCCTGATGCTCCATTCTGACCAGGCGAGGCAACCCGCGCTACCCCACGTCGCACTTCTACACGTACGCAGAGGAGGACTTTTGGAGGGACTGGGGCGACGTGGATCCGCCGCTCTTTGCTGACGTCCTCGCCCTCATGGGTGACGTCAGCGACAACATTCCTGGTTCGTGGAAACACTCTGAAGAGCTTTCTTGGAGGTGTTTGTTATTGTTAGAAAGTGCAATGTGAGACTCTTGAGATTTTCCTGGTGTCCAGAGAGCAATGTGAGTGTATTGTGACATGCGGATAGTACTCTCAAATTTATGGCCAAATGTGCAACACTCGTTCATGTGGCGTGGGCACTGGCAATTTTTGCTTGCTTCCTTGTTCTTCCCTCCCCTTCCATTCTTCACTTTCTTCATTTTCTCAGGGGCGCGTGGCATCGGCCGCAAGAACGCACCCAAGCTTGTCCGCAAATACGGTGGGTGTTGCCTTCAGGTTGTTGGGATAGCTGCAGAATAGAGGCAGAGACGTGATGCTGCATCAGATGTTGATCTCTTTTGAAAGCAGCGCTCGTGACAGCTAGACCCACTGCTTATGACTGCTTGCCTCAAGTGCATATGTTTTGTCATTCTTGCCATGAAGTGTTTGCACAACCTTGCAACAAAAGGATCACCCCTTTTCAACCATAATATGTTATGTTCCTTCGTAATCGTGTCGTCATGCCATGCTGCATTTCAGGGTCAGTGGAGCAGATACTGGAGCGACCAGAGCAGATATTGGACAAGAGGGGACGAGAGGTGAGTTATTGGGGGAGTTTCTGTGCTTTCGTGGATTATTGCTCTTGAGCGGTTGGCATGCTTTGAGGAATCCCAATCTGCGCCTGCGAATCCTTTATGAGTTTATCCATTCTGATGGATTAGGGGTCCAGCGTCCTTATATAAACCCTAAACACTGTCATCTGCTTGATGCGGTCAACTGTGGTTTGTTGACTGACATGAAAAATCTCAGTTGCATTTTCTGTGTGTGTGCATGCGTGCGTGTGTGCAGGCAGTAATAGCCAGCAGAGAATTAATCATCCAATCAAAGGAGCTGGTAAGCACCTCTCTTTAAACAATCATCCTTCTTACCTGCCTTACGCACGGCACGGCCCATCCACCAACCACTCCCCTCTCCCATTCTCTGGGCTTTCTGCTGCACCTTGTGCTTCAAAACGTGTTGTACTTGTTTTTCCCTCTGGTTGTCAGGTATCGTTGCGCATGAATGTGCCACACGGCAAGACATGGGACGACCTCCGCTTTCACCCACCCGCAGTGAGTACAACAATAAACATATGTGGACGGTCACTGAATGGTGTAGATAGGAGTTGACGGCATCACATGGCTCTTTGGTAGTTGAAATTCTCATGCCATTTTTTGTTTCTATGTTGCAGGATGGTGGCGTTGATTTTTGGAAGTTCATGCAAACATTGGAAGAGGATTCAATTCAAATGAAGTCTGGCATAAGGAAACGATTGGAGGCAGTTTGGTCTGAGATCCAAAAATAATAAACATGAATGTTATAAGTTTCATAAGATGTTGCTTGTAACCTTTTCCTCAGTAAGCAAAATAATAATGATGCCAGCTTACATGGCGATCGTTCGAAGCCCACCTTGGAGATGTCGTCACAGCGCCAACCAGAGCTTCGAGATTGTCGAGCGATTTCTAGCGGTTGGGCGCGGTAGGTCTACAGTTCTATCGGCGGGCGCTAGCTCGAACCTCAGGTTTGTGTCGGTCGGTCAGTATGGTACGGTTGGTGCCTCCTCCCTCTGCTGCTGCTGGTAGAGGTTCATGGCAAATTGGCATTGCAATGGTCAACCTTCCCTGCGCTGTTCTGAAGGCCATCTCGTCGATTTTTGTCAGCGATTTTGTATCGGCAGAGCCAGCCTGGTGCTGGTACGGTATAATGGACGCGATGATTCGCCATTAGTGGCTGGTCGGTTCATCCAGCCTCGCTTCGCGCGTAGACTCTAATGGGGAATTTTCTGTGAGCTTAGTGGTGCAATGAGATAGCGCGTGACGCGGATCGTTTACATTGTGCCGATGCGACGCTGCAACTCAAACACATCATCTTGCTCCCAGTTTCGCAAGCTCACTCTGCGAGCTCGCATAGTTTTTGAACCTGCCTTGCATCAGTCCTGGGATGAGCAGTCGCAGCCAAGCATTGCAAGCAGCACCGAACGCACGCTTGGGTTGTCAGAAGTTAGGACCTAGGCCGGCAACCTTTCACTGAATCGTTGACCCCATTTGACATCTTTGATCCAGTCTGCCAGCCATGGATGAAGTCAGAAGATTCGCGGAAAGCATGATTCGGACGGCGTCAAATCGAATCATGTCCAGTCCTCTCGATAACTCCGCGTCTCCTCCCGTCGTACGATCCTTCCACCCCCCTTCCTTTCGTCTCGGTTTTCTGAAAGCTTGACAGCGAAGGAAACGTCGCTTTCATATTTTGATTGATCATTGTCGTGTTTTTTCCACCTCACCACACCCGCTCATCCCCCATCGCCCTCTCCCTCTTTCCCTCTTCACGCTTTAAGCAGCTGGACACATTGCGTTCCGGCAGCAGAAACAATTCCAATCAGGATCTTTCAAATCGCACAGGCAGTCCGAGCAGCTTTCTGTCGCGAGGAGGCAATGCGAATGGGTACGGGGACAGAGAAAGAGACAGAGGAGGAAACAGGGAGCATGACCGAGACAGAGACAGGGACAGGGACAGGGACTGGATCAGGGGGGTGAGCGGTCTTGGCGCCAAAGGCGCGGGTGCTAGCAGCAGCAGCGGCAACAGCGGCGCATCCCGCACTCAGCGAACCCTCGATTACTCCGACGCGTCCCCCGATCGCCCTCTAGGATCCCCCTCCCAGATCCTGCTCGCGCCTGCCTCCCCGCCCCGCTTCCAATCCCCCCTGCGCAATGCGAGCCCCGACCCCAGGCCTGCCAGCAGAGGTTTCGGCCGTGGTCCCGCTGGTGCTGCCTCCTCGTCCTCCTCCTCGTTCAACCAGCTAACTCTACTCGCCTCTGGCGATGAGAGATCAGGATCCCCGGCTCCATCATCCTCAGGAGCACAATTCGGTTCAGGAGCAGCAGCAGGAGGAGGAGGAGGAGGAGGAGGAATGGGAATGGGTAGCCGTACCCCCATGACCGCCCCTCCCGCTACTCGCAGCCGCATGGCTGCTTACTCCTCTCCCTCCCCAGACCCTCGTTACCCCAGTCCAGGTCACTCATCCGGGTATGACTCAGAGTCGTCCCCCTCCGTTGCTGACGTGGCAGCTGCTGCCCTGTCCGACGTGTCAGAGGAGGATTTGCAGACGAGAACCCCGGTGATGGTGGGGAAGCGGGCGCTGATGGGAGTGGAGGGCATGGGCATGTCAGGGTCGCCCGGGTTCCTGTCGGGCTTCATAGCGTCCCGCCCCAAGAATGATCGCGCTGAGATGCTTGACCCGAAATTTTACCTCGAGGTGGGTGCGGCTGGATGTGTGTGGCGAGTGGTGTGTGTGTAAAGGATGGGCATGTCAGGGTCGCCCGGGTTCCTGTCAGGGTTCATAGCGTCTCGCCCCAAGAACGATCGCGCTGAGATGCTCGACCCCAAATTCTACCTTGAGGTGGGTGCGGTTGTATGTGCGGGAAATCAACTGAGAGGAACTGATGGTGGGTTTGCAACAGAAGGGATGTGCATGTGCATGCATGTCAGGGTCACCCGGGTTCCTGTCAGGGTTCATAGCGTCTCGCCCCAAGAACGACCGCGCTGAGATGCTCGACCCCAAGTTCTACCTCGAGGTGGGTGGATGTGGCCGTTTGTGCGGGAAAAAAATCATTAGAGGGACTGCTGGTGGGTGGTGTGTTGGAGAGAGGGGATGCGGAGGGGATGGGCATATCAAGGTCGCGTGTCGGGGTTCATAGCGTCTCGCCCCAAGAACGACCGCGCTGAGATGCTGGACCCCAAGTTCTACCTTGAAGTGAGTGTTGCGTCCTGGAGGCTGGAACATTCTTTCCCCAGTCGTTTGACGCTGTGAGGGCAGAGCTGGAGCAGCTGCTGCGGGACACGGTGAGCCTTGCAGCAGCTTTATTGAATGCTTTTCAAGGCGACATATCCAACACACCGCTCGCTCTTCCCCTTGCCCCCTTTACCCACCCTTCCCCAGTCGTTTGATGCAGTGAGGGCGGAACTGGGACTACCGAGTGACACGTTGGCGTTGCAGCAGCTGGGGCTAAACTCAACACACCATTCTCTCTTTTCCCCTTGCCTTTGCCTCCCTTCCACACCCTTATCCCAGTCGTTTGACGCAGTGAGGGCGGAGCTGGAGCAACTACCGAGTGACACGTTGGCACTGCAGCAGCTGGGCATGCGCAATGTACCACTCTCTCTTCCCCTTGCCTCCCTTCCCTCCCTTCCACACTTTTGTCCCAGTCGTTTGACGCAGTGAGGGCGGAGCTGGAGCAACTACCGAGCGACACGTTGGCGCTGCAGCAGCTGGGCATGCACAGTGGGCGGCGGCTGCTGCAGCTGGACGTAATTACGGAGCAGCTGGCCACGCAGGTCATGAATCACCACCAGAAAATGGGTGCGTGGGGGTGGAGAGGGGTGCATGCAGGTGGTGGGGGGTGTGTGCGGGTGGTGATAGGTGCGTGCCTTTCAGACATGATGGTATGGGCTGCCTTCCGTCCATGCTGCTGCTGCTGGCTGGATGTGATCACGGAGCAGCTGGCCACGCTGGTCATGAACCACCACCAGAAAATGGGTGCGTGCGTGCCCGTGTGAGGGGATTGCGTGCTGATGGTGGCTTGAAAACTTCGGTGCTGATGTTGGTTGGCTATCCTTGTGCCATAACGGGTGTGCTGCTGCTGCTGCAGGAGGTCGTGGCTGAACCGACCGACACATTCATAAACTACCATCCAGAACATCCTTTCTAAGCACTCATCCAAGCACTCCTGTCTCTCAAACCTCCCTTGCAAACCTGGCTGTCTCTCTCACCGTGCCGTGTGGCAGTGCAAGGAATGCAGCTGGTGGGGGAGCTGGACCGAGAGCTGCGGGTGGTGTCTGTCATCTGCCGGGTATGATGCCATGCTATGATATGATATGGCATGGCATGGTAGTGTCTGTCACCTGTCCGGTAGTGATGGCATGCCATGATATGGCACTGCATGGCATGGCATTGCATGGTGGCATGGTGTTGTGTTGTACTATGCGGATGGCAAACAACGCCATGTAATTCTGTGGGATGGCATGGCAGACGTTTGTGAATGCAAAGGTTTGGTGGGAAAGGGAATGCTTTCACATGTCAACCCGTCTCCACCTCAACCCCTCAAACACCCTCCCATCCCTCCCACCACCTAAACGTGTGTGAGAGCAGAACGCGCGGAGGCATCTGAACAAGGCGATGGAGGAGGTTGCGAGCGACCTGGTGGTGGCTGCCAGTGTCAACAAGAAGAAGATGCTCACTGTGAGTCTTTTCCACTCCTCCTCACCTAAGTTTACTCGACATAACTTGCGTGCTCCGCTCACTCACAGTCAGACTCCTCTAATCATTGACATAATCTGGTCCCGCTAAGTCTACTCAAGAGATGCTCATTTGCAACGCGAAGAGGCTCACAAGCGATGCTCAACATGCATCCGCTCCTCCCTGTTCTCAGGAAAGCTGCTGGTTGTGCTCATACTGTCCCACAGAGGGATCATGCTTCCAGTGCTCTCCCCTACCAGAACCTGCTGCTGGTGCTCATGCAGCAGGCGGCGGACGTGCCTTCACATCTTTCCATCCATCCGTCCGTCGTCTAACTTTTCCACCTTAAACCCCCTGTCCCGCTCTTCCTCTCTCCCTCTCCACCACTACCAGAGCATGCTACCAGTGCTGATGCGCATGCAGCAGGTGGTGGACGTGAGGGGGCGCATGGACGCGTGCATCGACGAGGGCGACTTTGCCCAATGCTCAGCTCACTACCACACCCCCTACTTCTCATTCCCGTTCTGCGCCCCCGAGAATATGGCACACAGCAGGTGGTGGAGGTGCCTTAACGTCTTTCGATCCCATCCTTCCTCTCCCACTCCATCTCCCTCCCCCCACCAGAGCATGCTGCCAGTGCTGATGCGCATGCAACAGGTGGTGGACGTGAGGGGGCGCATGGACGCGTGCATTGACGAGGGCGACTTTGCCCGTGCCCTGCGCCTGTGCTCGCACTGCCTTGTGCTCATCGAACAGAACGCCCAGCTGGCAGCGATACGAGACATGAACATCAGCATCGAGGTGGGTGTGCCGGTGGGAATAGAAGGGGGTGAAGGGTTGTGGGGGGAGAGGAACACGAGTGCTATTGCCGTTGCTCATGCTGTGCGCCTGTGTTCGCACTGCCTCGTGCTCATCAAACAGAACGCTCAGCTGGCAGCGATACGCGACATGAACATCAGCATCGAGGTGGGTGTGCTGGTGGAAGTTGAGGGGGTGGGAGGGAAGCACATGGATGCCATTGCTGGTGTCTGTGCCTTATGCACCGCGTGCCTCTGCTCGCACTGCCTTGTGCTCATCGAGCAGAACGCGCAGCTGGCAGCCATACGAGGCATGAACATCAGCATCGAGGTGAGCAGCAGTTGGGGTTGGTAGAGGGGGGAATGGGAGCGGGGTTGATGGGGGGAGGTACATGAGTGCTGGTGCTGTTGCTTATGCGCTGCGCCTCTGCTCGCACTGCCTTGTGCTCATCGAACAGAACGCGCAGCTGGCAGCCATACGAGACATGAACATCAGCATCGAGGTGAGCAGCAGTTGGGGTGGTGGTGGGGGAAGGGAGAGAGGGTGACGGGGAGATCATGGGGGAAGGATCATGAGTGCTGTTGCTGTTGCTCTGTGCCTCGATTCCCCTCACTCAGTTTCTTTTTTCTATACTCTCATTCCTTCTTCACAAGGAGTGGCTCACCCGGGTGGTGGATCATGTGGACGCGCTACTTTTCACTGTCTGCAAGTCCTTCTGTTCCTTTGCCTCACAGTGTGCCCTACTGTGTGCTCCTCCTCCGCGCCTCCCCCATTCTCCCCGCCCACCAGGAGTGGCTCACCCGGGTGGTGGATCATGTGGACGCGCTACTTTTCACTGTCTGCAAGTCCTTCGACTCACCTTCTTATGCCGTCGTGAGCCAATCCATTCCTTTGCGAAAAGCCCAACTCATTCATGCCATAAAACGCCTGGTGCCGCTTTTCGTCGGGCTTACATGTGTTTATACTCATGCCCGCACTCCCACCTGCAATGCATTTCTCTGAACAAGGTGGTACCCCCGTGTGCATCCATCGCGTTTGCCTTTTGTCCTGGTTTACCACAGTGGTACTACTACCATTCAACCATCATGTGATGAATGCTAACACTGCAATGGATGACTAATAGGGTCCGTCACACTATCAGTTCTCTCTCCGCTTCCCCTGTTCGCCACCTCTCAGGTGATTGATGCCTATGCAGTGATGGATGATGCAGCCACACTGGCAGACAAGGTTCAGAACTTCTTTGCCCAGTCTGTCGTCACCTGCACCTACGACACACTGCTGCAGTTCCTCGAGCAGGTACGCTGTTTGGCATGCTATTGCGAGCATTCACTTGCGTTTTGAAGTGTCTCAGTACTGCATACTCAGTAGTGCATCACCTGCAGCACCTATGACACGCTGCAGGAATTCCTCGAGCAGGTATGCCACTCCACATGCCATTGCTTTCAACCCACCCAGCTGCGCGCCACTCTCATATTCAACTGTCCCCCCTGTTGGTATGGCTACTGCTCTGTTGCGCACTCTTGTATTTTTAAACCCGACCGTGTGCCCCTTGCTCTGTGCTTGCTTATCCTTCAGGCAATGGGGGAGGATGATGGGCACAGAAGCAGGTGAGGGTGTGTGGAAGGGGGGAGGGGTGATTTATCTCATAGTCGCTTTCCATGTTTACTGCTTGTAGTGCTTCATTTCTTCCTACTTCCTGCTGCTGCTCCTGATCTCGGTAAATTTTCCTCAACTTGTCATCCTTGTCCTTAGAAGCAGCACAGGATCTTGTTTTGTATTCCATGTGTGTTTCTACTGTGTTCGTGTGCACCTCCTCTACTTTGTTCTGGTGTTGAAACAAGCAACGTGGCTTACCTGTTTTGTCTTCTTGTGCTTCCTGCTGGGCTGTCCATTTCCCGCCCTCACAGGCTGGCCTACAGTGAGCTGTGTATCGAGCTGCCGGACGGCGTGTTCCGTCTGTGTCTGCTGCGCACTCTGCGTGTGCTCTTTGACCTCTTCTCATCACACCACCACATGATGACGTGGCGTCACCCCTACGTCAAGGTAAGGCCATCCTCTGTGTATCCTCCATCTTACCCTTCCCTTGCTCTGCATGCTACATATCTATGTGTGCTGTCGTTGTACTGCCATGTTGCCATGTGTGCTGCCATGCCCCATGTGTGCTGCCATGCCCCATGTGTGCTGCCATGCCCCATGCGTGCTGCCATGTGTGCTGCCTGGCCGCCCCAATATGCTATCAATGGACCACTTCCCCAGCATGGCAAGACCTTACCTTGCCTGCCCCATTGTAAAAAGCATCCTCTCTATCACCCCCGTCCCCTTCTACTCTCCCCTCCCCACACCCCATCCCTGCTCCCCCCTGCCAGCGCCCCAATACCATGTTCAGCTCCCCCATCCCGCATTGCAGCGCCGGACCCCATGTGCGCCTCTCTGTGGACATCCCCCTTTAAGTCCCACTTTCCCGTCCCCCAAACCCCCTCATCCCCCCCCCAGCGCCCCAACACCATGTCAATGGACCGCTTCCCCCGCATGGCAGCACCGGACCCCGTGTGTGCCTCAGCGCCTGTCTCTGCTTCCTCCTCTGCCTCCGACCTCCCCCAACTCGCCCGCATTCCCACTCCACCCGCCGGCCTCCCCCGCTCCTCCTCCGGCTCGGCTGTTTCTGGTGGTGCTGCTGCTGCTGGCGCCGCTGGTGGTGGTAGTGCTGCTGCTGGTGGTGCCTCTAGTGGTGCTGGTGAGGCAAACGGGGCTGCAGCTTCTGAGGGCGCAGCAGCAGCAGGTGCTGAGGGCAGTGCGGGCAGTGCTTCGCGAGAGGGGTTGCATGCAAGGCGGAGGTCCCACAGCCTGGTGATTGAGATCCCTGGGGGTGGTGACCAGCTGCAGGAGAAAGCTGAGGAGGGGGATGGTGAGAGGGACAACGGGGCTGAACCAGGGAAAGGGCAAGATGGGGAGAGAAAAGGCGGGATTGAGGGTGCTGGTGGGTCAGACGGACAGAAATCAGGTGCACAGAGGACAGAAGCACAGAGGTCAAGTTCAGAAAGGACAGACGCTCAGGTGCAGCAGAAGACAGGGCATGCGGCGTTGCAGCAGCAGAGGCGGCAGGTGAGGAGGTCGTCAAGTGAGGGGCACAACGAGGCATGGAGCAGCGCTGGTGCTGCTGCTGCTGCTGTTGCTGCTGCTGGTGCTGAGGCTCTGGTGAGAGACGGCCGCCCTCCCATCCCCTCTGCAGGGCCTTCTGGGACAGAAGGCATTGCGGCAGCAGCTGTCGCAGCTGCAGCTGCAGCAGCAGCAGGCGTTGGTGGTGGAGTTGACGAGAGGAGCAGAAATCGGGGTGGGGGAGCGGACATGGCACTGAGAACAGACGATGTGATGATGATGGGGAGTGACTTTAGGGAAGGGTCGCTGGCGGATCTGCCACCCAACGTGGCACGCAAGATGCGCGTCAGCACCACGGCTGCAGTCTGCCGCGCGCTGCAGAAGAACAGGAAGGCCGTGTGGGAGCTTGCGGCTCGCCGCGTGGGTGCGCTGCTCACTGCGCCCGCACTCTGCTCCGGGTCCTCTCAGCAGTTCCTCCAGGTGGGTTTGGGGAGCGGAGCAGATGGGCAAGTTCCCATCGCAGCAGTGTGCGAGGCGTTCACTTGGTGCACGCGGCACTGCCGTAAAGCAAGTTACGACTTCTGAGGAGCCTTGAATGTCCTTTCCATTCGTTGCCATCCTCTTCTCCCTCGCCCCCAGTTCCTGCCAAGCCAAACCCACCTGCTTCTTCTTTTCCTCCCTTCCCTTTCACGGGCATCTCTACTTCTCCCTCGCCCCCAGTGCCTGGAGTGGGTGGACAAGTTTGCAGCAGTAGGAGAAGCGTTTACAGGGGTGGAGGCGGCTGGGCTGAGAACTAAAATGGTGAAGCAGAGCGAGGTATACTTCAACACCTTCCACCGCCAGAACCTCAAGGTGCGATGCGACCTAATTTCTGGACCTTGATACCTGTAGCAGGCGTTGGTATGGGAGCGGCTCTCTCAGGGGAAGGTGTTGGGTGGTGAGAGTGTGAGTGGCTGTCTAGGGCAGGATGAGCCAAGATGGTGAAGCAGAGCGAGGTGTATTTCAACACCTTCCACCGCCAGAACCTCAAGGTGCGACTTGTAAACCCCAAAGTGGTTAAGGCAGCGGCTCACTCATGGCAGGTGTTGGGTGGTGAGAGTCTGGGAGGCCAACTTGGGTTGAGAGGCAAGTTGGTGAAGCAGAGCGAGGTCTACTTCAACACCTTCCACCGCCAGAACCTCAAGGTGCATAAACCCCGTGGTAAGGATATTAAGCCCTGTATGTTGAGGAGCAAGGTGGTATGGGAGTGGCTCATGTACGGGCGGGTGTTGGGTGTTGGGTGGTGGGAGTCTGAGAGACGGGTTGAGAACCAAGATGGTTGAAGCAGAGCGAGGTCTACTTCAGCACCTTTCACCACCAGAACTTCAAGGTGCGACTCACCCACTGTGTTCTTGAGTCGACTCAAAACACGACTCATGCACGGCAGGTGCTGTTGCATGCTGAAAGCCTGAGAGGTCGAAATGGTCTTTTCAGCAGCTGTTGTTGGCCTCTCAGGCTTTCAGCATGCAACAGCACCTGCCATGAGGCGAGTGGTCTTTTCAGCAGCTGTTGAGGAGGAATTTTTCAACACCTTCCACTGGCAGAACCTCAAAGCACGGCTTTAACCGGCAATGTTCCTAAACCCACACCCCACATTCTCCCCTCCCCTTTCTCCCATCACATGCTGCATTGCATTCATCCACTACCACCAGGTGCTGAAGATGGTTCTCGAACGGGAGACATGGCAGCGCCTACCACCAGAGACCATCCACACGCTCCGACTCATCAGCCTCACCACCTCCTCCGCTCCCTCCCCTCTTTCCCATCACGTGCCAGGTGCTGAAGATGGTTCTCGAACGGGAGACATGGCAGCGCCTACCACCAGAGACCATCCACACGCTCCGACTCATCAGCCTCACCACCTCCTCCGCTCCCTCCCCTCTTTCCCATCACGTGCCAGGTGCTGAAGATGGTTCTCGAACGGGAGACATGGCAGCGCCTACCACCAGAGACCATCCACACGCTCCGACTCATCAGCCTCACCACCTCCTCCGCTCCCTCCCCTCTTTCCCATCACGTGCCAGGTGCTGAAGATGGTTCTCGAACGGGAGACATGGCAGCGCCTACCACCAGAGACCATCCACACGCTCCGACTCATCAGCCTCACCACCTCCTCCGCCCCCTCCTCCTCCTCCTCCGCCTCCTCCTCCTCTCCACCCAGTCGTCCTCCTCCTCTTCAGTAGGGGTTACGGAGAGTGGGGGAGTGGAGGGCGTGAGCTCGGGTGGTGAGGGAGCGAAGGAGAGAAGGGATTTTAGGGAGTGGTTGGACCGAGGGAACCCGTTTGCAGCAGTGGAGGCGGGGGAGGAGGAGGCAGCGGAGGGGAGAGAGGGAGGGGAGAGGGCGGAGGGTGGTGAAAGGAGCAGCAGCGGGAGTGGGGGAGGGACAGTCGGCAGGGAAGGGGGAGCAGGAGCTGGGTCTGGTGATGCTGCAGCCTCAGCATCAGGGGCAGCAGCAGGGGCGAGGGAGGGGGGAGAAGCAAGCAGCAGAGAGCAATCAGGGAACCCACAGGGGCGGATTCTCCCAGGGGGCCGAGCAGAGTCAGACAGAGCGAGCCGAGGAGACCGGAACCAACCCTCAGCGAGGGGGGGAGGAGCTCGGGGCAGGTTGAGTGCGGATGGGGAGGGGGTAGGGGAGGGTGAGGAGGACGAGGACGAGAGGGAGGAGCTTATGGCTGATTATATAGACGAGGAGGAGGTGGGGGTGTCGGCAGCTGTGCTGGCAGGCAGGGGCAGGAGGAGTTCGGAGGCAGGAGGGGGAAATGTGGGGGGTGGAGGCGGGCTGGACACGGGTCTTGCGCTCACTGGCGCTGCTCTCACTGTCGTCAGGTGTGTGCTGCCTTCGGTTCGACTCGAAGTCAACCCTGCTGCTTCCGTGTGCTCTTCTCTTTCCCCTGTGACCACACCTCTCTCCTCCCCTTTCCACCCCTCCCCTCCCCGCCCAGCCCATGGACTGCTGCACGTGCCTCATGGGGCTGCTGCCTTTTGGGTCGACTTAAGCATCACCCCTGATGCTTTTCTGTGCTCATGTGTGCTTTCTTTTCTGTGGCTGCACCTCTCTTCGCCACTCTCCACCACTCACACCCACTCAACCTCCCAGGCTCATGGATCGGTACACTCGACTCATGGGGTTGCTGCCTCCCATCGCTTCTGGAATCTTCGCTGTAAGAAGCCTCTTGTTTCACTTCCTTCCCCCCCTCCGTCACTCTCTGCCCTCCTCCGTCTCTCTCTGCCCCTCTGCCTCCCTCTCTGCCCCCCTCCTTCACTCTGTGCCACGCACCTGCCAGGGGTTGCATCAGCTCCTTCCTTCTCCTCTTCCACCCCTCACTCGTTGGGAACCATCTGATCTGCCTCCTTCGCACGCGCAAATACTTCCCCCTCCCCACACTCACGCACCTTTTACCAGGGCCTGTGCCAGCTGTTCGACCTCTGCCTCGTGACAGTCTTCCGACTTCCTCCCTCCACCTTCTTGTTCCCCTCTCGCTCCGCCGCCCTCCCCACTCCACCACACCCTCCTACCACGGTCTTTGTCAGCTGTTTGACCTCTACCTCGTGACATTCTTCCGACTCCTTCCATCTGACATCTCTTTCCCTTCCTCCTCCCTCCTTTCACCCCCCACCACCTACCCACCTACCAGGGTCTGTGTCAGCTGTTTGACCTCTATCTCGTGACAGTCTTCCGGCTGTTGAGGTGACTTACTTAATCACCCCCCTCTTCCCCTCTCCCTCCACCCCTCACCACACACACACCTACCTACCAGGGTCTGTGCCAGCTGTTTGACCTCTACCTCGTGACAGTGTTCCGGCTGTTCGGCAGCCCTGATGCCGTCAGCACACTGCGCTCTTCTGATCCTGCTGCTGCCGCCCGTGAGTGCTCTTGTTTGAACCTGCACGCACTCACTCACTCACTCACTCACTCACTCACTCACTCACTCACTCACGCATTCACTCACTCACTCACGCACTCACTCACTCACTCACTCTCGGGAGGCAGCGGAGGTCCCTCTGACCTGTGGCATAGATTTATTTGATTCACATGCTTTCAATTAGCTCAATCTGGCAGCCCATCATCCAATGCTGCTGCTGCTCATGATTTCTCTGAAACGCGTCTGCTTCGCATACTCTCTGTTAACATGACTAGTCACTGTTTGGGCAATCCTGCTCACATCTTCACCCCCCCTCCCTCTCCACGTTTATGAAGTTCGCTTACCCCTCCAGTGTTCACCCCTTTCTCTCTCTCTTCACCTTTCTCCTGCCGCTCCCCACCCCTTCCAACCACACTCTCCTTTCCCCCCAGTGCTGACCCCCAAGCTGCGCACCACGCTGGCACGTGTCGCGCAGGGATTGGACGACGCGCGCAACAAGCCCATCTCGTCCCTCTCCCCCACCGGCACTCCCCCTGCGACTGGAGCAGCGGCAGCAGCAGCGCTGGGGGAAGCAGCAGCCGCGGCTGCAGCAGCAGCAGTGGAGGCGGTTGGGGGTGTGATTGGTGGTGCGAGCAGCAGTGGCAGCTTGGCAGGGGGCGGATCAAACAACGTACTGGTCTCCTCTTCAAACATGTTCGGACTTAAGGTGAGTGCCTTTCTGTGTTTTTTTTTTTGGTACCTCAAAACTAGATAGGCGTTGGGGCCAGCATCGGGTGGGTAGGTGCTTGGCAGGGGGGGGTGGGTTCTCGAACAACGTACTGGTCTCTTGGTCATTCATGTTTGGAGTTAAGGTGAGTGTGTGGCGGCTCTGGCCCCTGAACAGTCCGGGACGCTCCTCTACACCACACTACTACCTTTCATCTCGCCTTTCATCAGGCATGCATGCCTACCTATCAAGGCATCTCACTGTCTGCTCCTGCTTACTTGTTCCTTCTTCAGGAGTGCTGTGTGGCGATGGAGTCACTCATGTGGCTCACTCACAGACATGCTGCGGCAGACCAAGCCTCAATCCCTCTCATGCATTCCTCCCGTATATCCGCGCATCTCCCTACCCCACTGACTTCCAATCCCATGCAACCCCACTCCTTTCCCTCCCCCAGGAGCGCTGTGTAGCAATGGAGTCACTCATGTGGCTGACAGACATGCTGCGGCAGAGCAAGCCGCGCTTCCAGTCGCTGCTCGCCCCGCCTTCCTGGACCAACATGGACGTCTTCTATGCGCGCACGGTGGGTTCTCCACGTCTCTCTGTCAGCCTTTCTTCTGCCATATCTGGTACAAAACATTTCAAAGCACACATGCATGGACCACCATGGACGTCCTCTATGCCCGCACGGTGGGTGCGTGCCCTCTCCCTGCCTGTCTGCTGCTCAGCTTTGCCCCTCACCCCTTTCCACCCCCCTTTCTCTACCTCCCTCTCAGCTGGACGCAGTACCGGACATGTGCAAGCATGTGCTGCGCACGCTGGTGAATCTGCTGCTTGTTGCTCATTGGTCTGTGCGCACTCCCCTTGTCGACCATTTCCCCCTCCTCTAAACCCTGAACGCTAAACCCTCAGCTGGACGCAGTACCGGACCTGTGGGAGCATGTGCTGCGCACGCTCGTGAAGCTGCTGCTGAACATAGCAGGCACAGCGGATCGAATTGCTGCTGTCAACTGGGAGCCGGCTGACATCGGCACACAGCACAACATGTGAGGCGCCAGGGGGTGGAGGGAGAGGGCGGGGGAGGAAAGGGTGGGCACCATAAATGCCAGTTTCATGCCATGTTTTGAGACGTCTCAATCCACGGCGGACCGCATTGCTGCTGTCAACTGGGAGCCGGCTGACATCGGCACACAGCACAACATGTGAGGCGCAGGGGGGTGTTATGCACTGCAATCCACATGTGAGATGTAGCGGGATGGCTTCTGAGTTGACTCAGAAAGTCAGCATAGCAGGCACGGCGGACCGCATTGCTGCTGTCAACTAGGAGCCGGCTGACATCGGCATACATGTGAAGCGCCAGGGGTGTGTTTGCGTTGCATTACATTCGCATGAGACCTATTTTCTAGGTGCCTTGAAACTTGTCTCACTTCACACGGATTTCACATGGAGCGGAGCGGATTATACCTGCTTGAAAGTGTGCATGTAATTTCTGTTTTTTCTCAAGAATTCCTGCGCAACTGTGTATCACTAACTATGATCATCGTATCATCATCACAATCCCCACCATCCTCCCCGCAATCATCCAGCTATGTGGAGAATCTGGTTGCCGAGTTCCGCCTTTTCGCCCACCGCTTGGGCCAGTCTGGAGCACCTCGACAGGTCAGACTCCCCTCTTGCCCGCGCCCAGTTTTAATGCCCCTCAGGTTTTCTCTCAAACCTCAGTCTTACCTCATGGCTTGCGACATCATGCATGCCAAGTCAGACAATCTCGCGGCTCACTCTCACGCACACTGCCTGCTGTCTCCTCGTGCTTGCATCCATCTGCGGATATGCAGGTGCAGGACCAGCTGGTGGCATACGGATTGGACGAGCTCTGTGACGTCATGCTCGACGGCATCTGCCGGGTCAAGAAGTGCAACAGCAATGGCCGCGCCCTCATGTCCCTTGACCTTCAGGTGAATCCTCATGTCCCTTGACCTTCAGGTGAATCCTCATGTCCCTTGACCTTCAGGTAAGTTCTCATGTCCCTTTACCTTCAGGCAATATCTTGTCACTTGACCCTTAAGGCAAATTTCAGGTGGATTTTTGTGTCACACGAGCTTCCACTCGTCTTGTTTTTCGCCCAACGTCTTCTTCGGCTTCATTCAACCCTTCCTGTTCCCCACCCATGCTCCCATGCCCGTATCATCACCCGCAGGTGCTGGTGCAGGGTCTGCAGCCCATAGTGGGGCGGGGGGCAGTCAAGGGGCTACAGCTGGTAGACAACTACATCAAGGTTTGTGCTCTCTTCTCGCTCTGCTCGCCCCGCTTCTTGCCCCGCTTGCCCCGCTTGCCCCGCTCGGCCTTCTTCACTCTGCTCACTCTGTTGCCTGCTGGTTGCGGGGAGAACCAAGGCTGTGATGGAAGAGGGGGCAGCGTTGACATCTGCTTCTTCGCAAGATAACGCTTTTGTTCGGTTTCTTTCGTCTCATATCATTGGGCCAAGTGTGCATGGTGTGGTTGTGCGTGTGTGTGTGTGTGTGTGCAGGCATTCTACTTGAGTGAGAGTCAGATCATCGACTGGGTACGAGCACATCCGGTGAGTGCCCTGCCCTCCGCCCAGCCCGTCTCATCATAGCTTCTCCACGTGCTGCTGTTGAGAGGATATTGTAGCTTCTAGTCGTCATAAATTTTGTGGCATTGCCGTCTAGGATGGTTTCTCGTCGAGCTTGTATTCTTTGACTGCGTTTCACTATCCCTGTACTGCATTTGATTTCCATTGATCGTGCAGGAATACACGAAAGCGCAGGTGATAGCATTGGTGGTGATGGCTGCTAATGGTGGCAACTGGAAACTGAAGAACAAGTTTGAGATTATTAAGAAGATTGATACTGGTGATTTGACTTGATTGAGAGGTGATGTGACTCCATCCCTAGGAAATCTATCCGTGTTCTGTTGCCTTTGTCTCTTCACCCATCCTGGCATATACTTCAGGGCATGAAAAGATGTAGATATTCGTATAAAGGAGGGCGTAGGGACAGGACTGTAACCTTCATTGGTGTCTCACTATCTGCAGCTTCATGTCAAATGGACATGGAAACATTAATTTTCCAAAGCAGCTTAAAATAAACATTGGGGTATGTTCTGCCGTGATAGCGAATCATCCTTCTAAGAGAGCACTTTTCGCGTTCAGATGGCCTTCCTGCGAACTTGGGACAGGACAGCCCCCCAAAAGATTCCCGTAGGTGCTCAAACGATGGGCCTTTTTCAACGGCTTTCGACTTTTGCCGGTGTAATTTTGCAAATGTATACAACAGACGGCCGTAGAGAAAAAAGCCTGACGGAACGTTATAAGCCAGCGGTCAGAAAAAAAAAAAAAAAAAAAAAAAAAAAAACACCCCATTCGGATGGCATCCGACTAGGGAAACCTCAACCCTAAACACGGGTAACCACATGGTTCCCCGACGTTTCGACATTTTTCCTCCAATAGTCTTATTGTATTCATTCGCAAACACTTCCTAGCAAAAACTGCAAGCAGATGGGATTGACCGCTCAAATGTTCAGACGACCGCTCATCCCAACCGCGACGTCCTAGAAATCCAAACTACCTGACGGGGGTGTCAGAATGTTATGTGTGTCTAGCCTGCAGTGGGGTACTCTATAGCGAGTACAACCCGATTTAGGGTTTCGTATATGTATCCTGCTGCTGCTAGTGAAAAGCCCTCTTTCCTGTTTCTCGTTTTGCCTAGCTTTCTCGACATGCTATCAGAGCAGGTCGACCCTCCTGGGTCGATCCTGTGGGTGGGCCCCACCCGATGCTTCCGCTGCTCTACTGCCTGTAGCGTGCCCCGGGCGCGGGCCGTTTTCTCACTGCCGTGCGCTCGGAGCGCGCAGCGTTTTTTCTTCCCGCCGCGCGCTCGGGGCGCGCGGCGGTTTTCTGCCCGCCGTGCGCCCCGAGGCGCGCGGCGGTTTTCTGCCCCGTCGACCCGCGCGTCGCCCCCCGTCGCCCGTCGCGGCCCGCGCGACCTGCGCCAGGCCCGCGCGCGGCCCGTACGGCCTGCGCCAGGCCCGCGCGCGGCCCGTACGGGCTGCGCCAGGCCCGCGCGCGGCTCGGGCAGCCCGCGCGCGGTTCGTCCGGCCTGCGCCAGGCCCGTGCGCGGCCCGTACCGTCTTCCCCTGTGCCGCACGCCGTCCCCCGAGCTTCTGACCGCGCCCCACCCCCGCTGCTGCCCGCGTTCCTGTGTTAGGGTTTGGGGGTGGAGAGTATGGGGGTGCCGTGTGTGTGAGCCGTCCCCTGCTCCTCCTCCTCCGTCTCCCACTGCTGCAGCTGCCGCTGAGGGGGGTGGATGTGTTGGAGCCGTCGGAGTGGTACGAGGGGGGTGGCGTGTGAGCGGTGCTAGTGGTTCAGCAGGGAGTGTGTGAAAGGGGTGTGGAACAGTTGGGGGAGGTTGACCGGAGGTAGCCGACTTGTCGTCCGCAGCGCCTGAAGTCCAGAGAGCCACGACCCCCTGTGGCCTGAGTAGTCCGGGGCTCTGCGCCCGGTAGCCACGGTGTGAGCACTCCTGGTAGTCCAGAGAGCCACGACCCCCTGTGGCCTGAGTAGTCCGGGGCTCTGCGCCCGGTAGCCACAGTGTGAGCACTCGTGGGAGCACAGCGAGCCAGCAGAGCCTGTCGCCGTGTAGTCCGGGTTTAGCCTGGTAGCGACAGTGCTGCGCACTTCTGTTGCCCGTGTGTCTGCAGCTTCAGCCGTCGTCTCTCATCTTCTCGGCCCCACAGTTTCTCCTCCTCCTCACTTGCTCTCTGTGATAGTCTCTAGCGCTGCTTATAATTGTGAACTACTGCTCTGCCTGCTTGTTGTGTTGATTGTACCCCACTTTGACTATGGGGGTGTGTCAGAATGTTATGTGTGTCTAGCCTGCAGTGGGGTACTCTATAGCGAGTACAACCCGATTTAGGGTTTCGTATATGTATCCTGCTGCTGCTAGTGAAAAGCCCTCTTTCCTGTTTCTCGTTTTGCCTAGCTTTCTCGACAGGGGGAAGGGCGGGCCAAAGGCGGAAGCAGCACTCGGATCCTCAGCTTCGACCGGGATTCATTTTTTTTTGCGAAACTCCATTTTGCCCGTGGCGACACGGATTCAACTCGGACTCGGCGCAAAAGTGGGTTGGACCTTCCAAAATCCAAACCACCTGATGGCGCAACGAAATGGGCGCAAGAGTGGTTACACTACCGGTTTGGATTATCGACGGTCGCACGAAAGCGACGTCGCAACCACTGTTCTACAGTTGTTTGTGTATAAATTTTGTTCTTGACACTTTGGACTGATTCTGATATGCAGAAAGTCAAAATGGCTAAGTCAAAATTCTATATGGTTTGGCTCATAACTCCAGTTTTAGTGGATCATTTGCACCCAAATTTAGATTTCCAACATCTCTTTGATGTCCTCTACCAGCGGATCTGATTTGGTTTGTTTGGCAAAATTCATTCATTTTGTCACTTTTGGCTCAACTAAGGTTGCTCCTAGCATTGGAGAAGTCATTCTCTGGGCATCACACACATGTGTCATGTGGTGACCTGTTTTTTTTTTGTTTGTTAGTGTTATGACACCTATTCCAGCCCCCCAGAACAATTTCAGGTCAATGCAAACAGATTTGGTGTACTTTTCTTGCTTGAAAGCTAGTGATGAGTAGCCTGGACTTAGGTGTCAGGTGAACTGACCCACTTCTCCTAGGGCAAATGAGTCCATTTGGAGACGCCACTCTCATCACACCTATTTCAGATCCCCCTCTCAGATTCACCTCTTTTCCTTGACGTTTGATACGTTTTTCATGCTCTTCTCTGCAGGCTGGTGCAGAATTCTGTGCAGAATTGCCTAGATTCAGGTTTCAAGTGAATTCCGGTATCTCTCCTTGGGAAAACGAGGTGATTTTCATACTGCACTCTCAACACACCTATTCCTGACCCCCATATCAATTTCAGATTTTTCGATGAAGGTTTGGCTGTGTTTTCATGCTCTGCTCTGCAGGCGGGTGCAGATTTCTGTGCAGAATAGCCTGGAATCAGATTTCATGTGACATGACCCACTTCTCCTTGGGAACATGAGCCCATTTTGATAGGGCACTCTCATCACACCTAGTCCTGATCCCCATCCAGGTTCCATCTCATTTCATCAAGGTTTGCTATGGTTTTCAGGCTCTTCTCTGCAGGCTGGCGGGTGCAGAATTCTATGCAGAACATGGATGGTATCAGGTGTGAAGTGAAATGACCCACTTCTCCTTGGGCAAATGAGCCCATTTTGATAGGGCACTCTCATCACACCTATTCCAGATTCCCCTCTCAAATTCACCTCTTCTCCTTGAGGTTTGCTATGTTTTTCATGCTCTACTGTCCAGGCTGCTTCTGGCAATTCTGTGCAGACTTCCCTGGATTCTGGTTTCTAGTGAAATGACCCACTTCTCCTTGGGCAAACGAGATGATTTTCATACTGCACTCTCACCACACCTATTCCAGACTCCCCTATAAATTTCAGAATTTTCCATGAAGGTTTGGCTGTGTTTTCAAGCTCTGATCTGCAGGCGGATGCAGATTTCTGTGCAGAATAGCCTGGAATCAGATTTCATGTGACATGACCCACTTCTCCTTGGGCAAAATGAGCCCATTTTGATAGGGCGCTCTCATCACACCTATTCCAGATCCCCATCCAGTTTTCATCTCATTTCAGCAAGGTTTGCTATGGTTTTCAGCCTCTTCTCTGTAGGCTGGAGGGTGCAGAATGCTATGCAGAATTGCCTAGAATCAGGTGTGAAGTGAATTGACCCACTTCTCCGTGGGCAAATGAGCCCATTTTGATAGGGAATTCTCATCACACCTATTCCAGGTTCCCATCCAAAAATCACCTGTTGCCCTTGAGGTTTGATATGCTTTACATGCTATTCTGCCCAGGCTGCTTCTGGCAATTCTGTGCAGAATTCCCTGGAATCAGGTTTCTTGTGAAATGACCCACCTTTCCTTGGGCAAACGAGGTGATTTTCATAGTGCACTCTCAACACACCTATTCCTGACCCCCCTATAAATTTCAGATTTTTCCATGGAGGTTTGGCTGTGTTTTCATGCTCTGCTCTGCAGGCGGGTGCAGATTTCTGTGCAGAATCGCCTGGAATCAGATTTCATGTGACATGACCCACTTATCCTTGGGCAAATGAGCCCATTTTGATAGGGCACTCCCTACACACCCACAACAGACCCCCCTATCAAAGTCAGATTTTTTCGTGAAGGTCTGGCTGTGTTCTCATGCTCTCCTCTGCAGAGGGGTGCAGATTTCTGAGCAGAATTGCCCGGAATCAGGTTTATATGAAATGACCCACTAACCCTTGGGGAAATGAGCCCATTTTGATAGGGCACTCTCACCACACCGTGTCCTGATTCCCATCCAAAATTCACCTGTTTTCCTTGAGGTTTGATAGGCTTTTCATGCTCTCCTCTGCAGGTGGGTGCAGATTTCACGTGCAGAATTGTACTAAATTAGTTCTGTATTTTAAGCGTCATTACAGGACTCGAGCTTTTGAGCCCATATTGCAGGGGCTCTCTTTCCACACTTCCACCTCACCCCCCCCCCCCCCCCCCCCCCCCCCCCCCCCCCCACACTGTTTAAGGATTTTCCTTGAGGTTTGTTACATGGGGTACACAAACAATCACTGTACGTCATACGCGAATACCCCTATAACGATACTGTGTGGGCGGCCTTTTGGTTTCTGCCGCGTGTGAGACGTCGCATAGGTTGCGCTACTTTCACGATTCAGCGGGAACCATGCAGAAAAGATAGTTCTACGTGGCAGCCTGTCATGAACCTGTCACATGGCAGGTTTTTTTTTTCAATGGGTCTGCCCGTCACCATCTCGTTCGAGGTCGAGGCTAAGCCGAGAGCATGCACAGCACCGCAGAACGTGAGATATGCTTACATGGCAGATAAGGTCGGCGAACAACCAACCAGCAAGTGACGCAGAACATTTAGGGAAGCAATCTGGCGACAATTTGGCCAATCAGTGCGTCCAGGCTGCATTGAGTGGTTTGCAGATGCTCGAACGAATCTTCTGCCGAGGGAGTTTTCTTGACGTATGGGGCAGAACAGTCATACTACGCTTGGCAACTGTAGCAAAGCCCTTCCCGCCTTCTGAGCGGACGAGATCACAACCTGTTCTACCAGTGATTCTGGGGTTGTTATCAGGGTGGGAGCACCAAAGCTGCTTGGTCATTCTCGCCATTCCAATCTGAGTCTTGGCTCCACGACTAGCCCTCACAAGCTTCCCTCTCCTTATAGTGTCGGCCTCATAAGTAGCCGTAGGACTGTGTATGGTAGCAACCGTTTAACTACCCGGCGTCAACGTCTTACTTACTCGATGTCGTCCCAGTTAATCACAGATGGCTGCGGATTGTCTGTACGACTAGGGAGGGAGTCCTATGAAATGTTAATCGCTCGTCAGGAAGAGTGGAACGAGGCGTTGTTGCTTTTCGGCCTTGTGTAAGTTTATAAATGCGTTTTATTACGCACGCCTACTTCTTCGGCACGTTAAACTATTGTATGCTTTTACATAGCCCTGCAATCTTCTTACCACCGCGACATGTCTGCTCGGATGCAGAGAGGTTGCCAAGGAGAAGATCCAGGATCCTCGTGTGCGCAGAGACATAAAGATTCTGGCTCCTACCGAGCATCGGCCCTTGAGGTCAGCCGTCCCGCGTGTCCCCAGTTGTGACAGCGACCGTCGGTCGCTGTTGGACTACCAGATGGTTTTAATACCCATGTTAACAGAGTGAGTGTCATGACATGGAGCCGCAACGTCGATCGATGACACCAGCCCATCTTGCTAATCCAAACTTTGATGTACTGCAGAGTCCCTGTTGTAAACTCGATGGCAATCAGCCTCATGGTGCTGCTGATGTCAGAATATTATGTTCTAGCCTGTAGTGGGGTGCTCTATAGCGAGTACAACCCTTCTAGGGTTTGCTATTTGTATCCCCATTCTTGCTAGTGCAAACTCTCCTTTGCTTCATTCTCTCTTGCCTAGCTAGGTCAACCCTAGCTATGGCTCCTCATCGTGCTTACTATCTCGACAGCTGAACCCGCAAGATTTGTTAGCAGATCCCCGCGGAGAGTACCGTACGCGTGTGCTACACTTCGACCCTAAATCTGCTATCCCTTCCCATCGCCACGCCGACCATGCCAAGGAGGTGTTCGAGTAAGTGTCAATCTGTTACCAGTTCTGCGGGTTGCCATGACGCATCTGATTTATTATTTGCGACCCCCATGCCCTGCAGCTTGATGTGGAATACAACCGAGGTCACAGGGTCGGAAGCAGCCACGCCCAAGCGGTGCAGAGAGATTTGAGGGGTCGCCTTGAGCACCTGATACTGGAAGAAGGCCTGGTAAGGAGCCTCCATGTATAGATTTAAGCGTTGCGTGTTTCCCGGGGTTTAAAAAGTATCGGGTATGCATGACAACCCCCTTCACTCATACATGTCGCAGATCAACAAGGTTCAGGGACAGAGGCAAGTGGGTTCCGGCCTGCACGTTACCCATCTGTTCAGCAAGCTGCTGGACAAATGGGGGGATGTAATGGCGACTCAGAATACAGACCCGATGCTCCGCTTAGGGAGGGGGAAAAACAGCCCGACATAAATCCGGAGTATGCTGGAGTCGACCTGCAGGGTCTGCTTCGACCTGCAATGAGTCCAGCTCCGCCCCGCCCCAGATTCTGTCATAACGACGCACGAGGCTCGAGTGGAGGAGAGCGCACCGGAACGGCCCGCGAATATCATGGAGTGGGCGGCACAGAGAGAGTCCGAAGCGGGAGAGGGCCAGAGAAAGGTACCTGCTGCAAACCAGGACGTCGGTCCAAGAGTGGGAGAAATTTCATATTCCAGGCGACCAGCACTGGGGGGTGCACTGCTGAGTGGCCCGATATCATGGTCCGCCCGTGCGGACGAGCGTGTTAGGTCTGGAGCCAGGCAGCTCAGGTTTGCCGATCGGGTTACGAGGCCGCCGGGACGCGAAGCACAGACGGAGAGGGACTTGGCGGGTGTAGCCGATGAAGGCGAAGAGGGTGTAGAAGATCCACAGCAACCAAGTCAGGCCGAACAGCAAGAGGAGGAGTGGAGGAAGGCGGCTGATGATAAGCGGATGGCCGAAGCAGAAGCCAAGAGGAGACGGGCTGAAGAGAGGCAACGGCGCCGTGATGGCGCCACCGACCCGACCGTGTCTTTCCCGGGAACAGAAGACATACGTCATGCATGGGAGCGTGGGGCACGAGCCGCTGCAAGGGCACACGTGGGAGTGGTAGGAGGCGGGGAGCTCGCCACCAATGTGCGGCAGCATACCGAGGAGCCTACGGGATACGTGAAAGTTCGCATCCCCAGAGTAAAGCCGAAGGCGGCCGAAGAGGCCCAGAGAGCGGACGTGGACGACCGAGAGGCGGGAGGAGAGGCGCAAACGCAATCGCAAAGCAACGCGGGTGCAAAGGCTGACGCAATGGCGGTAGTGGCTGAGGCAGAAGCGCAGAAAGAATCAGAGGCAGCGGCACTGCAGAAGGCAGTGGTTGAGGAGCAGAGAGGAGTGGTGGCAGAGGCGCAGCAGCACGCAGAGGCCGATGCGCAGAAAGCGGCGGAGGCTGAGAAGCAACAAGCAGCGACGGCTGAGGCACAGAGGAAGGCAGAAGCAGAGGCGCGACAAAAGGCAGAGGCAGAGGCGCAGGCGGCGCAGGAGGGCGAGTCGCCGCAGCACGCTGTGGCATATGCGCAGAAGAAGGAGGAGGCTGAGGAGCAGCAAGCAGCGGCGGCGGGGGCCCAGAGGAAGGCAGAGGCCGAGGCGCGAAATAAGGTAGAGGCAGAGACAGGGGAGGCGCAGGAGGGCGAGCCGCAGCAGCTCGCAGAGAGAGATGCGCAGAAGAAGGATGAGGCAGGGTTGCGAAAGAAGGTGGGCGATGATGTCAAGAAAAAGTCGGCAGCAGAGGCGCAGCAGCACGCAGAGGCGGATGCGCAGAAGAAAGCGGAGGCTGAGGCACAGAAAGCAGCGGCGGCAGAGGAGCAGCAGAAGGCAGCGGCAGAGTTGCGAAAGAAGGTGGGCGCTGATGTGCAGAAAGCGCCGTCTGCAGGGAGGCAGCAGTACGCAGAAGCAGATGCGCAGAAGACAGCGGAGGCTGAGGCACATAATGCAGCGGCGGTAGAGGCGCAGCAGCAGGCAGAGGCAGAGTTGCGAAAGAAGGTGGGCACTGATGCGCAGAAAGCGCCGTCGGCAGAGAGGCAGCTGTATGCAGAAACAGTTGCGCCGAAGACAGCGGAGGGTGAGGCACAGAAAGCAGCGGAGGGTGAGGCACAGAAAGCAGCGGCGGCAGAGGCGCAGCAGCAAGGAGAGGCAGAGTTGCGAAAGAAGGTGGGCGCTGATGCGCAGAAAGCGCCGTCGGCAGAGAGGCAGCAGTACGCAGAAGCAGATGTGCCGAAGACAGCGGAGGCTGAGGCACATAATGCAGCGGCGGCAGAGGCGCAGCAGCAGGCAGAGGCAGAGTTGCGAAAGAAGGTGGGCGCTGATGCGCAGAAAGCGCCGTCGGAAGAGAGGCAGCAGTACGCAGAGGCTGATGCGCAGAAGACAGCGGAGGCTGAGGCACATAAAGCCGCGACGGCAGAAGGGCTGGATGTCGCTGAGGCGGATAGGCGAAATAAGGCAGAGGCAGCAGCGCATAAAGCGCCTGCGGCAGCGGCAGAGAAGAAGGGAGATGCAGTGGCTCGTCAGATGGCGGACGATGTGGGGCAGAAGGCGGCGGCGGCAGAGACGCAGCGGCTCACGGGCGTTGGGTCGCGAAAGAAGGCGGAGGTAGAGGCGCATAGCCATGCTGCGGGTGAAGCGCAAACGATTCCAAATGCAATTGCGCCTCAAATGGCGGAAGCCGAGGCGCATGAACGTGTGGCAGCAGAGATAAGCGCAGTGGCTGAGGGGCAGAAGGACCAATATGCAGTGTCTCATGCATTAGCAGATCGAGAGATCGGGAGTGTAGCAGAGGCTGAGGAGCAGAATACAATAGAGTCGCCAAGGGCGAGAGGGGAGGCTGGTGTGATAGGCTGCGAGGGAGAAGAGATGGAAATAGAGGAAGGGGTGGCGTCGGAGGAAGGTGTACATCCTGCGGTCCGAAAGTTTTTGGGCGGAGGATCGACACAGGGGCCGGAAAGTGAGACCGAGGGTGCATGGAGGGTGGCAGACGATGGGGCGCCTAGGGATACAGTGGATCTTACAAGGCAGGGGCGGGCTGACCGAATGCGGAACCTTCACCAGAGGGCGGAGGAAAGCAATCGCGTGGAGGAGGGGATGCAAGAGCCGTGGGAGGAGGTAGAGTGGGTCGAGGCAGAGGCGGCAATCCGCCGGATGCTGCGGCGCACGAGTACCGTCCTGGTTGAACAAGGGGACGGGTTCGTCGAGGGAGAAAGCTGGAACATTACCCCGGCAGAGGTAACTCGACGACTCACACTCTTAGCCCGGATGCTGACGCAGACGTTTTGTAATTTGGCAGCCCGCAACAGCAGCATCAGCCGTGACGTGAGCCAACTGACAGTCCATTTCTGTCGCGACGCCCTGGCCAACCTGGCAGAGGTCCGCCATGGAAACGAGGAACGGCGGCGGCAAGCAAAAACGGCGGCCAGGTTTCGCGCGCACATGGAGACAAGACTCTCGACCTTGCATGAGAGTATACTAAGCGTTCAAAATCAGGTTCGTCAGTCGGGAGGGGGAATGGCAGCGGGCACGTTAAAGGGGGTGGAAGAGAGGTTGAGAGAGGTGCTGAGAGAAGACACAGAGCGGCGGAAGAGGGATAGACGTCAAGAAGAGGAGCGGAGGAAGAAGGCCACAAGGAAGGAAGCAGAAGCGGCAGAGATTAGGAAAAAGGAACAACAGCAGGAGGACGAGCGTCGGAAGAAGGAGCTGAGAGAGGGAATGAAGGAGACGTAGCAGGCGATGAAGAAGGAGATGAAGGCAGAACTGAAGGAGATTACTGATGGGATGGTAAACCAGATGGTGGAAAGGTTGAGCGCTGTTCTGCGAAGCGAAGAATTTTTGCGGCAAAAGAAGGAGAGACAGGAGGACACGGAGCGGCGGCAACAGCATGACGCGAAGAGGAAAGAGGCAGACGAGGTGGAGAGACGTAAGAAGCAGAAACAGATGGACGAGGACAGGCGGAAGGAGGAGGAGGAAAAGAGTAAGGAAGCAGATGCCACAGATCGACGGATGAAGAAGAAACAGCTGGACGAAGAGAGGCGGCATAAGGAGGTGGAGGCGGGAATGAAGCAGATGATGGAGGCTGTAAAAGAAATGAAGTCGGGGATGGAACAGTGGAAGAAGGGTATGCTATGTCAGAATATTATGCTCTAGCCTGCAGTGGGGTACTCTATAGCGAGTACAACCCAATTAGGGTTTCCTATATGTATGCCAACTGCTGCTAGTGCAAACTCTCCTTTCTTCATTCTTACTTTCTACAGCTAGTTCTGACATGCTATCAGAGCAGGTCGACCCTCCTGGGTCGATCCTGTGGGTGGGCCCACCACCTAAGCCTTCCGCTGCTACTGCTACTGCTACTGCTACTCTGTGTGTCGCACGCCTCGTGGCGTGCGACGGATTTTTCATCCCGCCGTGCGCCCCGAGGTGTGCGGCGGTTTTCTGCCCGCCGTGCGCCCCGAGGCGCGCGGCGGTTTTCTCCCCCCGTCGCCCGCCGAAGCGCCCCCAGGGACCTGCGCGTCGCCCCCGTCGCCCGTTCGCGGCCCGTACTGCACGAGCGCGGCCCGTACAGGCTGCGCCAGGCCCGCGCGCGGCCTGTCCTGCACGCGCGCGGCCCGTACGGGCTGCGCCAGGCCCGCGCGCGGCCCGTACAACCCGCGCGCTGCTCGTACGGGCTGCGCCAGGCCCGCGCGCGGCCCGTACGGCCTGCGCCAGGCCCGCGCGCGGCCCGTACGGGCTGCGCCTGGCCCGCGCGCGCCTCGGGCCGCCTGCGCGCGGTTCGTACGGGCTGCGCCTGGCCCGCGGGCGCCCGGTCTCCTCTCCCACTGAGCTGCACGCCGTCCCTCGCGCTTCTGACGGCGCCCCACCCCTGCTGCTGCCCGTACTCCTGAATTAGGGTTTGGGGGTGGAGCGTATGGGGGTGCCGTCTCTGTCAGCCGTCCCCTGCTCCTCCTCCTCCTCCTCCGTCTCCCACTGCTGCAGCTGCTGCTCAGGGGGGTGGGTGTGTGGGAGCCGAGGGTTTAGGGTTTAAGGGGGGTGCCATGGGAGTGGAGCTAGGGTTTCAGCAGGGGGTGTGTGTTGGGGGGTGTGGGACAGTTGGAGGAGGTTGGGTGGAGGCAGCCGTCGTGTCGTCTGCAGCGCCTGTATTCCGGGGTTCTGATAGCCACCGGTAGCTCAGAGAGCCGGTTGCACCTGTCGCCCGTGGGTCCGTTGCTCCTGTCGCTGCTGATCAGACGCAGAGCCTGTTACTCCTGTATTCCGGGGCCCTTGCTCCCGGTAGCCACTAGAGTTGCACCAGAGCCGTCTGTTGCCCGTGTGTCTGCAGCTTCAGTCGTCGCCTCCACTCTTCTCTCCTCTCGCCAGCCCTCCTCCTCCTCACTTGCCCTCTGTAACTGCCTCTAGCTTTGCTCATAATTGTGCACTTTAAACTATTGCTTCTTAAACTTGTGCTCAGAATGTGTGGTGACATTGTGATCCACCCTGAGCTTGTACTGCTTTGCTTTCTCTGCTGATTACACCCCACTTTGGCTATGGGGGTGTGTCAGAATATTATGCTCTAGCCTGCAGTGGGGTACTCTATAGCGAGTACAACCCAATTAGGGTTTCCTATATGTATGCCAACTGCTGCTAGTGCAAACTCTCCTTTCTTCATTCTTACTTTCTACAGCTAGTTCTGACATGCTAAGTGATGTGGAGAAGCGGCTGTCTGTACTTCTGAGATTGGACGCAGAGCGGCGGGACTTGGAGGAGCAGGGTAGGAAGGCAACGGAGGGAGAGCGGCGACAGAAGGAGGAGGCGCAGAGGAAGGAGTCTGAGGAGGCAGAGCGGCAGGAAAGGCTGAAACAGCAGGAGTTAGAGCGCCTGCAGAAGGCGGAGGCGCAGAGGAAGGAGGTAGACGAGGCCGAGCGGCAGCAGAGGGAGAAACAGCAGGAGATGGAGCGCATGCAAAAGGAGGAGGCGCAGATGAAGGAGGCAGATGAGGCCGAGCGGCAGCAGAGGGAGAAACAGCAGGAGATGGAGCGCCTGCAGGAGGCGGAGGCGCAGAGGAAGGAGGCAGAGGAGGCCGAGCAGCAGCAGAGGGAGAAACAGCAGGAGTTGGAGCGCCTTCAGGAGGCGGAGGCGCAGAGAAAGGCGGCAGAGGAGGCCAAGCGGCAGAGGAGGGAGAAACAGCAGGAGATGGAGCGCCTGCAGGAGGCGGAGGCGCAGAGAAAGGCGGCAGAGGAGGCCGCGCGGCAGCAGAGGGAGAAACAGCAGGAGATGGAGCGCCTGCAGGAGGCAGAGGCGTAGAGGAAGGCGGCAGAGGAGGCCGAGCGGCAGCAGAGGGAGAAACAGCAGGAGATGGAGCGCCTGCAGGAGGCGGAGGCGCAGAGGAAGGCGGCAGAGGAGGCCGAGCTGCAGCAGAGGGTGAAACAGCAGGAGATGGAGCGCCTGCAGAAGGCGGAGCAGCGCCGAGCAGAGAACAGGGCCAGACTTGCATCGTACGCGGAACAGCAGCGGCAACTAGAGGCAAAGGCAAAGGCTATGGCTGAAGGGACCGAACGTTTGGCACGGGAGATGGAAGAGGAGGACTCGACAATGCAGGGGGAGGGGACCGGGGAGGGAGTTGAGGAGGAACTAGCAGAGGGCGTGGGGAGGGTGTTGTTGGAAGAGAGCGTGGAGGCGAATGTAGCAGAGTGCATGGCTGTTGTTCCTGCACAGAACGTAGAGGTTTCTAGGAGGCGGCCTAGGCAGGAGGACAGGGAGCCAGAGGGTCGTGCGTCTAAGAGACAGCGTGCAGCTGGTATACAGGAGTTGATACCGATAACCACAGGGGAAATGAAAGGGATGAAGATCGACAAGTGTGACAATAGGAGAAACGACCAAGTGGACGACAAGGGTAAGACTTTGAGTGTCTGCCGGCCGTTCAGAGGAAGCGGGTTCTCTCAACGGGGCGAGGGAGCACTGCAGAAGTGGACGTCGGAGCAGACCGTCGGCGGGAGGAAGCGGAACCTCGGTTCTCACAAAACGGTGTGGGAGAGGGCATACACGGTCGCAGTCTGCTGGAAGTTCTACTACCCGAATATTGACATGCAGGCATACGGTATGAATCCAGACTGTACAAACAAGTGGCGGGAAGACCTCGACTTCACAACATGGCTGCCAACGGGGGTGTGGAGCATCCTAAACGAGCTCCACCTCGACAAACCGGACGGGTGAGTGTTTTTCTGAAGGTCAGTTGCAACTTCTATACACACTCGTAGTACGATGGTTTTGATCTTCCGGCGCTGTTGACTTGTGCAGATTCTCACTCGTTCAAACAAACACGGCACATCGGCAGTAGCAGGGGGATGGCTTTCAGGTGGCTGCCTGCGCTGGTGTTGGTATAACAGCGTGGCAGGAGATCGTGGGAGGGGTGGAGGGTGAGAACGGCTATTCGACGGAAGAATACGCAGTCGGATGCGTCCACGAACGTGGACCGAACCCAGTGGGAGACGGCCGCAACATCAGCTGCACGTGGAACTTCTACGGCCATTGCCACTTCCGCTGCCAACTCGTTCTCTACTGCCACCGCCTCGTCGGCTGCGTTGTCATCCTCTGCTGCCGCTGTGACCCCTCCCGTCCTCGATGCCCTTGCGCCGCTTGCAGCCTCGGTTGCTTGCGTTGCAGTTGAGGCGATGAGGTCGGTCGAGGATCAGGAACATGACAAGGAAGCATGGATTCTGCCCCTGTCGGCTGCGCTGCTGAAAGCGCTTCCGGCCGAGTTGCGAGCGGGCGGGGATACGAAGCGGATGACGAGGGTGGTGGCAAAGGTGGTGACCTCTTGGTGCCTGTACAGCATGGCATCAAGAGGCCTTCGCCAGCACCACGGCGTCTGCCTCGAAGTCTCGTAGAAGAAATTGGGCAGCCGGGACACCACAACAGGGGCAGATAAGGAGAAGAAGACCAAGAAGTCGTCCGCGAAGGGGAATGAGACGAAGGATGCGTCGACGGAAGAGAAGACCAGCATGGGCGGGCAGGGGTGATAGCGGGGGTTAGGGTCTTTGGGTGGAGAGTAAACGATAGCTGTAGAAGTTGTTTCTTTTTCATGTTCTTGTATATCCTGTAATAAACATACGTGCTGTTGTATGCAAGACCCGCATTCGAGTCTTTTTGAATTGCAAACCAAAAGTAGATACGAGAATGTTGTAGGCTGCGTATGCAGGCAGATATGCAGGTTATACAACACACCAACGTGAGCGACAGCCGACTATTCTTTGAAGGCAGGATGGGCTCCTACGACAAGTAATCTGCAGAAAATCACCCGCTTCTACGACCGATGTTCCGCAGAAAGTACTCCAAAACACTACAATCCAACGTGACAAATTGACTACCACAGGTGGTGGCAGAAGCCGAGCCTATGCATACAAATGAAGCCATCGTTGCCATCCCCACGCGATATGTTGTCTACGACACGAAACAGCTGGAAATCCGTAGCGTAAAAACATATGCGGAAGTGGCCCGCATAGAATTGCCCGGTGCATAACAACCAGGTGTGCTTCGCTACGGGTGCAGTATAAACGTACAAGTGTCAATATCCGACAAACCTAGGAAATATATGAAAAACCCATACCACGTATAGCAATATGCCCACCCCATAGAAACCCTAAATTGTAGAAGACAAACGTCCATGCAGAAACGAATCCCAGTTACGGCGCCTACCTTCTCGACGCGGCCGCTTTCGCCTTCTACCGTTCCGCAACACATATTATCCGGAACAGCCGAATAACACACCTCCACAGTGTTGTATGTGACACAACTATAACATAAACCGAATGCGAGAGTAATCTGCACAGACTACGATGGTGTGCGCTTCAAAATGCAAACAGCAGACAAACATTATACGCTCAACACCTCTACCTGAGAAAAGAGTGACATACAAGCCCCAGAAGCACTCTTCTACATAGACAGTTAAGTGCAAATCGTATTCGGGGTGCAATAGCCACAACTTCAGAATATTACCCATATAACTAAACCGCACTAGCCTAAACCACCCGCATTTCTGCGCTTAACGTTTCGACGCATCGCCCTTCGCCTTTTCCAAATCCGCCTTCTTCGCCGCTGCAGATCGTTGTTTCTCCTCCTCCGCCTTCTCCTTCGCCAGTTGTTCCTTATAAATCTCCTCTCAATCATCGTCCCCAAACAGCGATGTTGCCCACTCCTGGTCGCGAAGGCCCTTCCTGACTAACAGCCAGCCGACTTTGCGTTGCGCCAAGTCGTTGACGGTCATCTTCTCCGTCGACGCACCGGTCTTCTGTTTCTTGTTGGGCGGAGCCTCATGCAGCACAGCCAGGCCATTGGTGAATTCGGTGAAGTTGCACACGAGGTACACCTTGTCCAGCAGCTCAATGGCCGTCGCGGTCGCCGCCTCGGAGCTGTCTTTTCTTAGCGTCTCCACGGAGACCATGATACGATGCACGAGACGCATCTTTCGCTCGCATGCACCCACAGACATTGCGGGCGTACCTTTCGCGGCGAACCGGGAATATGCGGTGATGAAGCTGCTGCCCGTCTTGTTCTTATCCCGGCCGAACTCTGCACAGACTTCGGCCAGTGTCTTGCCGCCCATGATCAGGCTTGGCTGCACCGACTGCAACTGGTCCTTTGGGTGCGTCCGTTGCATTGCTTGCACCTACCCCCGCGCTCTTCGATGATCCGTCGACCTCTGCAGATGCGTTTGCAGCGTCATTCCTGGCCGCAACAGACCTCCTGAAAGCTTCGAACTCTGCCCTGAGCTGAGCCTTCTCCTCTCTCTATGCGTCGAGTTCCTTCCTCAGTCTCCCATTCTCCATATCCAACTCCATTTCACGTCCTCGCGACTTCCCTAGTTCCGCCCTGAGCAGATTGGCGGTGAGGTACTGTTTCTGCATTTTTTCCTCGGCGGTCGTGCGAAAAATAGCATCCTGCAGAAACGAAAACGTCAGAAATCTGCCGAAACGAAAACCTCTATCGACCAATAATGACAGACACTTATTGCCGTGGCGGTGGTTTGGGCGGTCGCCCGAAGTTTCTCGCCCTCAAAGTGAAAGCTAGCGACCAGGTACGCCCACTTTTGGAACAGTGGGTGGTTGCACAACGGGCTCATCTGCACATATGGATGCCGCTCGCAATTGCACCGCGGGTTTCTCGCGCCATGCTGATGGCAGAACACCCACATCATAGCTAGATCCTGTGCGACAACGAGCCGTCCGATTCTCCCGAGGGTCTCGAGGAGCCTCACCCCCGCATAGTGCCTCTTCAGCGGGTCGGTCTGCGCATCGTTCCATGCATGCACCTGAGCGGAATAGAAGCCAGGAGAAATGCGACAGTTAAAAAATGCGTCTAACAATTTCTCTTACGAACGCGCAGACTCTAAGCTCGCACGTACCTTCTTCAGACCCTCCTCGACCCATGGGAAGATGTGAAGCCTGATAAGATTCAGAAGCTGGAACCGCTCATTCTTCTCATCATCCTCATGTGTCGGTAGCTTTGCGCGGGCTCTGCCGATGTAGTAGTCTCCACGATCCCCGCTGAATCCAGCCAGCAGCCAAACAGGCTTAAAAGGGATGCCCATCACATAACACCTCCGCAACTCCCCCTGCGCCCATCCGCCCAAAGTGCCAATGTCGTTGTCGGAGTAACCGTCATCATGAAGTATTTGAGCTCCAGATCTGCGGAACGCGTGTGTCACCTTGCTCAAAACCTATTCCGCCTTTTTCATGGCCTACTTTATCCAGCTGCAGTGCGTTTTGTAGTGAATCTCATCTTGCTTCTGCTTTCCCTTGTCACTGTTCTTCTTTAAGCAGAAGAAGAGGTGCGCTTTCGTCCACTTGATCGGTTCAGAAAAGTCAAGAGGCTCGACGATACCGGGGCCGTAGCGCAGAGGGACGAGGTCGTAGATGAAATAAAGCCACTGGAAAACATGGCCCATCCCGCAGAGCCGCCAGTCCCTATGCCTTGCAAGAAACTGGTGACTCAGCTTGTTGCTGATGTTGGTCTTCGATTTCCTGGAAACGACAACGAGGACCCATACGTCCAGATGGTCGTCGAGCAGTGAGGTGCTCCGAGTCATGCGGACAAACAGGTTACCAAGGCGAATCTTTCGAATGCTGCAGCCCCTTCCGAGAAATTGGTGCCCGAGGTGCATCATAACCGGCACTTGCAGAGCCTTCCAGAGAGGAAGGTTGATTTGTGCTGGATGCGACCGCCACCAGATTTCCTGGAGTTCCTTTCACAGAACAGTGTGATGTAGCGTCCTATACTGGGTTGCCGTATAGCAGTCGGAGAGTGAT